CGAAAAATAATACATAGTAACCTCCCCCCTCCTTCCAAGGGCTGCAGCAACTCTGTCTTAATGCTTTACATACTATTTTTAATCCGGTTAAAATGTTCATCAAGTTGTCACAAGAGAATTAAAATTAAAATTCCTACTAAAGCTGAATAATGTTTTTATATTGCATTAGCTCGAAAGCAATTATTTTCCCTGAACCGTTTGTGTACCTAAATTTTAAAGTCTGCAATATAGTACGAGTATATTTTTTTCACAAGTTAAAACTAGATATTACACATACGAATACTAAAATACAAGTCTCGTTATATTATCATAACAAATAAAAAATAATTATATTATTCATGATAATACAGTAGTTTTTTGGATATTGGTACCTATAAAAAAAACCCCATTATATCCATCTGTACTTATACTATAAGCGTTTAAATGGATTAACCTATTTATATTACATACAATATATATATATATATATATATATTTATTTTTTTTTCAATTTTTCAAATTTAAATACAATTACTTAACGATAATAATGTATTGATTGTATGATAAAATGATGATGCTATAAGTAATTTTAAATTCAAACCTAAGCATTTCGCTTTTTGATTTCATATTGTTTTTTATTTCGTAACAACTGATGAGAAATGTTTTATCCTGAATCAATTTCAAGTATCTGTTTCACGAAAAGAGTATTCATTTCGTAAAACAAAAATTTAAATAAATATTTGTTTCTCACAAAATAGACAAAATTACCTACCTAAAATGCTATCCTATGTCCACATACCCGAACCCAAAACCAGGATTCGCTGTATCGAATACGCAGGATAATATTCACGCAACTGAATATTAACTCTAGAAAAGATCAATTTCAAAAAATAAATTGATGTGACGTACCGTATACCGTATATACTATATGACATACGTATTTTACGTATACGTTATTGAGACTCAATTTGTATGAAAAAATATATATATATTTATATTTATTGGTAGTACACCAATATATCAAAATAATCATAATATTACAATTTGGACCAAACTAAATAATTCGATTGAAGATAAAAATATAATTCTAAATATGTTCATTATTGTAGTAGTATAAAATCTTCAATTTAAAATAAAAAAATGTCTTATCAAAGATTTAAACTCATTTCATGGATTCAACAAAAAAAAAAAATGTTTTAATGTATAAAAAAATACAAAATATAATTCAGAATACGTGTATTGAACAATTCTTTATTTCGAAAAGTATTCTAATATAAACAAATATTAAAATATTAGCAAAATATTGATATGAATACTTATTTATACAACACTGTAGTATTATAATTAGTTAATAACAACTAATAAGTGTCGGATTTTGTAGTAAAATAAATTGTTAAAAAGCATTTGAAATAACCAAAAAAAATTAAAAAATGAAATTATACACTAAGATTAAAAACTAATTCATAGCTATATATTTAGTTAAGTTATTTTCATTAAAACTTAACATATTGGATGCAGTGATGGTCCTAAACGGACCGCTATAAGCCTTAGAAGAAGAAGAAAATATTGGATGATAATATTTTTTTGTACATTACAAAATAATGATCTTTTTACATCAACTGAAGTTATCGGTAAATACATAGTTCATATTATTAACTAAATCATTTAAAATTTAAATTATATTGCTTTATATTAACAATGTTTGGTGTAGTTTCAATATGAATGTTATTGATGTTTTGAAGTTTTTCCCGTCCATATTATTCGATAAAAAAACAATTGCACTTTTCCATAATCAATTTTACTACTTCACCATTACTTCTAATTTTTATTTTGCTTCCGACACAATAGTTATATTTTTTATTTTTTTTCTTATTATGTTGAAACGATTTCAATGAGAATGATTCAAAACGTATTTGTATGAAATAATATCACTCCCCATCAAAATATTTTGAGTTATATTAGCTATAGTTATATTCATTATTAAGTAGTATACATAATACTATTTTACAATCTGATATACTTGTTGGTATAATTAACACCTTCGATACCGGAATTAGTGACCGCTTTCTTCTATTCAACATTTTATGTGGAATATAGATATTACTCTTTATGCGTTTACTGAACACTTATAATATCATAAATGATGCTGTATTTTCGAATATTTAATAATGTTACTATATACAATATATTAATATAATATAATAATAATTAATAAATCCCTACTGTTTTAGAATAATACAATACTGATATCAATAGTCAATACGGTCGGGGTCAGCACACCATTCAACACTTTCTTTTACCTAAACAAATTTAATAACTTCTCTACAGTTGTAATCGGATATAGAATATATCGTGCGAATAATAATAATTATTGACCTACCTAATATGAACAGGTTATTAGAATCGAAAGAAATCTATGCACGTTCATACTGTATTGTTTTTATAACCAGTTAGATTATTGTGAATACTACGAAAACGACAACAGTCGAAAACTGTAAGTTAACCATAGATATGGTCAACGATGTTAACGTGCAATATTTCAGTTTTCATGATGTTATCATCACAATGAAGTAGCATTTTTGTAATTCCATAGTCATAATAATTATAATTTAATGTGTATTAAAATTATAATATCACGGCCACGGGGAAAATGAGTAAAAAGGCACAAGAGATATCATGGATCAAATATAAGATTCTAGTAATAAGCATACGTAAAAATACAAACAATACAAGTAAGTAAGTACTTATAAGTATGCAAATATACCCACTTATTTATTGATATTATTATGTTTATAAAATACATTAAGTTTATTATAGGACAATAAGGAATAATATAAGGAAAAAAAGGCCAGCATATTTTAGTTAAGAACCTATAATACGAACTTATTCAAAATTAAAATTCGTCAAATGCAATTCCTACAGTATTGTCTAGTTTTTCGATTTAAAACCGTAATATTGGTCCGTAACAATAGTCATATCTCATTCCTAACCTATTCCGTTAAACGGGTATCAGTCAGTAGATTAGTGGAAAATTTGAATTATTAAGGTGATTATTTAAAACTAAAAATTGGAGTTAATTTAGAAAACCGTCTCCAATCCCCTTCATAATTATTATTATCTTTAGTAAATAACTTTAGTAAATCGTTATATTTTGTTATTCTTATTTGTGCGGTATAAACTGTAAAATTCCCTCTCCACACAAAGAGATAATATCCTAGTAGCCAGTAGGTATATTATATAAATATAAAATTTCCATGCGTTTGTAAGACAGAAATACTATATGTACCTAGGTGTTGCGTACTCTTATAATATTAAATTTATTAGTTGAATGTATTTTATTGTTTTGCATATTGTATAAACTCTATAATATGTACTCGTATTATATATTATTTTAGATTCTGAGTGGAGCGAGAAATGTATTGGTTTTACAATGCTGTTTAATTTTTTTTTTCCTATGAACAACTTTTCTACCGTCAATTTTTCTCCGATTTTCTACTATAGCATTTTTTCTAAAAGGTTATCTGACTAGGAAGGTACTTTAAAAAGGTCATTTTTGGATTTACCCAGGAGTTTTCTCGATAAATGATAAAACCGGGAAAATAGGTACAATTTTAAACAAATATTATTAAAGAAAATATTTAACGCATATGTAATAATTTTACCATAATATTGCAAATATATTGTTAACAAAGCAACAATATCAATCGAACTCTTTTCAGAATTATTTTTTCTTTAGCAATAGTTAATATTGTTGCATACAGATTACATTAAATTTCCCCTCTACTATCTTCCCAAATTCTTAGCTACAACAGTGATCCACCTACGTGCGAATTATATCGGTCTTTTTTATTATACGTATATTTAAATTATCTTACCTACCTTACGGCTTCACCTACGCAAAATATTGAATGAAAACAATTTTAAATAGCTTATGCATATTATGTCATTATAGGGAATAGTGTAGCTTTCTACTAGAAAAATAATTTTCAGAATCGGATTAGAAATTCCAGAGATTATCTTCTACAAACACACCCACATACATAGTATTGAAGTATAGTTATAGCATGTAGGTATAGATATTAGTCCCATCTGCGTTATTTGCTTACGGACCACGAAGCACTTAATCCGGCTCTGCTTGTAGAGTATATACAGAAAATAGTGCACTACAGATTAGGTAGGTTATAGGTACCCATAATATGTAGCACCTGTTAAATATTATATAATCAAAAACCATTTTTTGAAAGAGTATTATTTTCCAAATAATACATAGCATATCTTAGTCGTACCATAAATTATCGATTGGATTGGATTGAATTGGGTATAGCTATTCATTTTACAATATAATAATATTATATGGATGTATTTTTTTTTCCTATTATTATTCTGAGAGCTACTAGAAGGAAGCTATTATAGTTATATAATAATGTATGTAACGTGCAGTATAGTGTAACTATATAATATGTATACATAATAATGTACCTAATAATATATAATATAAGGTATATGGTTTTTTTTATGCATGTATACTTACCAAAATATTTTTGAGAAAAAATTAATACTTTAATCTTTTAAAATGTATCTTTTTTCTTTTTTTTTTAGTAAAAAATATAATCTAATATAGTTAGTCGGATTGTCATTTTTTTTCTTCAATTTTTACCTATTGTACGAACGAAAACCACTAAAAAAATGAATGAAAAAAAAAATAATAATCCTATAATCCTATTATTATAGTTATCATAATATTACATATAGAGTCTTGATGTGTACATACATTTTTTCTCGAGATTTCAGTTTTATAAAAACGGTTATCCCATTATTTTTAGATTATACGAGGTTTGGCTATTAAACAACGAGACTACTCGCCTAGAGGACGCCTTAGATGGGTAGTGAAAAAATCGAGTAATGCGTTGGGTATCTAGATATCTTATCTATGCACGTACCAAAACACGTTTTCGTCACTATTATAGTATTTATGCAGTAGTGGTTTGAAACAAACGTGTTTTTTTCTCGTGCCGAAAACCATGTGTGACGAAAAACAGAAGCAACGTATCAATCTCAAATTTCTTGTTAAATTGAAAAAAACTCTGACCGAGTGCTATAAATTGTTGCAAGAGGCCTATGGAGGCAATTCTCTATCTCGTGCACGTATTTTTGAGTGGTATAAGCGCTTCATTGAGGGCCGAGAGAGCACTGAAGATGACCAGCGCCCAGGTCGCCCTGTCACCGTTTCAACTCCGGAAACAGTGACCAAAATCAACCAAATTGTGCGTGCAGATCGTCGAATGATTGCCGAGGCTGTAAACTCCGATAAAGAAACGGTTAGAAAAATTTTACATGAGGAATTACATATGACAAAAGTCTGTGCGAAGTTGGTGCCAAAAAACCTGACTCCTGACCAAAAGTTCTTGCGTCAACAGGTCTGCTCAGATTTCCTTGAAAAGTTAAAAGAAGATCTCGGACTGATGAAAAACATTATAACTTGCGACGAAACATGGATTTTTCAATACGATGTTGAAATAAAGCGACAATCGATGCATTGGAAGACACCTGAATCGCCCAGAATCAAAAAAGCAAGGATGTCCAAATTAAAATTTAAGGCAATGTTGATCGTTTTTTTTGACATTAATGGTATTGTGATGACTGAATGGGTTCCAGAAGGTCAGACTGTCAACCAGATTTACTATTTATCAGTTTTGGCAACACTGCGAGAAAGAGTTCGTAAGAAACGGCCCGAGTTGTGCAAGAACAACTCGTAGATTTTGCACCAGGACAACGCACCTGCCCATAACGCGCTATCTGTGAAGCAGTATTTGGCCGGTAAGCGCACTCCAGTGCTCGAACACGCGCCGTACTCGCCAGATTTGGCACCGTGCGACTTTTTTTTGTTTCCAAAGATAAAATCTGCTTTGAAAGGGACCCGATTTGAGTCGATGGAAGCGGTAAAGCAAAAAACGGCAGAGCTCCTAAAGGCCCTCGCCAAAGAAGACTTCCAGCACTGCTTTGATCAATGGAAAAAACGTATGGAAAGGCGTGTGGCGAGGGGAGGGGAGTATATTGAAGGGGAACATTTGAATGTAGAATAATTTTTATAATAAAACACTTTTTCGTAACCAGTCTCGTTATTTAATAGCCACACCTCGTAATTCATAGAGTGATGGAAATGTTGGATATCTGTAAATTTTCAATATAGACCTTAACATTTATTTACAAGTTAATTAATTAATATTTATAAAAATAAATTTTAAAATCTCCCCATTTCCTTAATATTATATTTTTCTTTTACTTTATGCAACGTATTACGATTAATTTCAATAATTTCACGGAGTTTTCAATTTTAAGTACCAAGTAGAATGAAAATGCTATTCATTTTATAATAATTAGGTGTGTATACGAGAGCACTTTATTCGTCTTTGCATTCTCGGAAAATACATTTTGGCAGTGGGAATTCTCCATAATGAAGTTTCGTGAAGGGACATTTTCTCATTTTACTCGCTGTTTTCAAGTGCGTTGATTTATAATTGTTTTAATTAAATAGTAATAATATAATTATTTTTATGAAGGAAAATACTAGCATGCACCCGTGTGGCCCACTAAAATTTTTGAACAAACTTGAAATTATTGGATCATTTCTAAGCTAGTTACATAAAGTATATTAGGTATTACACATTTATATATAGTTCGATAATGACGTAGACTCACAAAGAGAGTTTGAAATATAAAAATATTATTACAGTTCCTTTGAATAATAATAATCAGTTTATGCAAAGATGTATTTAAGTTAAACTTAATTTATTTAAAAAAAAAAATGTACAATCTTTTACAACTAAGTACAATGCGATTTCAGATTATGTAATAAACTATAAATAAAAAGTTTTCGTATTTTCGTTATACATACAAATTGCGAATAGTTTTAAATGTTTGTCTCTATGTACGAGTATATTATGTAATACAAAGATAGAGACTCACTTAGTTTAATTACGAAATACATTTAGTTTGGAATGTATATAGAGAACATTTTCACTGTTGAAGTTAAACAGTTTTCTGACGTTTCATTTCAAAACGAAAATAGTTTCAATTTGTATAATTAAACGTGGGTAACAAATACGATAAAACCTCGCCTGGCAGACGTTTTTTTTGGAACGGAGGCATTTTCACTACTTTTCAATGAGGAAACTTCTGAATGGCGAACACCTTTACAAATTTTTTAAAAAAATAATGAAAAAATGGTGACAGCGCTCACACTATATTTACCTAACAATAACAAACTCGATATTATCAAACGGTAATATAAAATTACGACCAATTAAAATGATTATGACGAAAATATTAATGTATCAACTATCTTTCGTTTGTTTGTTAGTTATAGTCGTTATAGTGATTAGTTTTAGACGAGATGAATGTGTTTAAACGAAAGAAATTGTCACTTGTCGAACAAATTTAAATTCTTGACTTCTGTCAAAACAGTGGAAACGCAGATGTTCAGGCGAATATAGAAAAATGTCTAATTGGAAAAATCTTATTGCGGAAATCATGACAAATAAAGATGACATTTGCAAAGCCGAGGAAAGATTTTTCACATCGAATTGAATGCAACGATCATCAATATCTTTAAATACAATTAAATAATATGCATTATTATTAATTGTATTTAATAATAATAATAATAATATTGCAGTTGAATTTAACCTGACTCAAACGTCTTATTTTGTACCGTTTATGAATTTCAAACATTTACCCCTTCTGAATAGTGGACGAAATTTCGATGACCGAGAGCGTCCGCTGTTCCGAGGTTTCGCCGTGTTACGAAACCGTCTATGTATAACTCAATCGTCCACCAAAACCGTCCAAAATATAATTCCAAAACGTAATAATTATATGAAGTTGGGATAATCTTACGCCGATTATTCCAGTATAAATAGACAATAATAATGTGATTAATAATCCATTTTTCTGTGTTTATGTAATATAAATTACTTTATGCGAGTGCGTAATACGTATTGCAAGTATGTATAGCCGTATAGTTATGTATAACATATAGGTGTGTATAAAGTACCTACATAAATGTATAGGTACTTATTCTTACATAATATATTTTTAAAAGAACTATCGATAAAACGCGCACGTACGTGTGTGAACTACACAATCGCCGGAAACCGCAAAAATTAATATATAATGAATTCCGAACAAACGATTATAAAATATCCTTCACGGTGTCGTCAGGAGGTCATGGGGTTAGCCGTTTATTAACACATTAATAATATACACTATAAATCGGAAAATTATCACGTTCGATAAGCAATATAGTTCGTAAACAACGTTGTGTCATAAAAGGTATTTGGTATACAGATTTAATAAAAATTTTCTCGTACTCGGCGTCTAATTAATTTATTATTATGGTATCCGGATCTATTTTTGTGTGTAAATCCACTATACTGCGGTGTAACCCGAAATAATCAACAACCGAATAATTATTATTAGAAATAATTATTATTCCGGCGCTCGAAATTAAAACGACAATCATTACTGGTTTAATTAAGTTTAAAAATGTAGTGCGGTTGTAGAAGACGAGGGAGTACATGGTATTTTTTGGCCGGAAGGAGGGGTAGGAGGAAAACGAAGCCCCACAGGTCTACTCGCCCGGGAAAAAAAGTGTGTTATACGAATAATGACAAAAAAAACAACATAATATTGGTACTCGTCATCGTCGGTGTCAATTTTGGACGACGTTTTTAAATGGCTGCATACGAATTGCGTCCGTTCTATCTGAATATTATATTTTTAAAAATATAATAATAACTTCACGGTTATATCCCAGTTTTATTATTTTTAATTTAATTATTATTTTATACAGATTATACTTTTAGTACCGCGTGTTGTCTGTTTAGTCGTAAAAGTTGTGTACTTGTCGTATAGTATTCAATCACGTTTGCGTGAACGTTGACGTGATTTTAAATTTTAATAAAATAGCATCGGTGATTTTAAGTGAAATAAAAACTTTATTTTTTATAAACTATAAATGGATACAAATTTCGTTACCATAAAACATTAAAAAATTATATAAAACGTTAGAATTGCCGTAAAAAAAAAGGTGCAAATGATAATGATAATAATGATATTATTAAAGATTGTGCTGAAATATTTAATAGACAAAAATTTAGTAATAATCTAAAACGAAATGACTTTTAACTTTTGATTGCGTAACATCGACTAAAATCAATATTTTTAACCTGCCAATAATAATGAGTTGCTGTTGACAGTCCTTTTAATAATAAGTCTTCTGCAGCATAAAACGAAAAGGAAAATAATGTTTTTACGCCGCCCGTCGCAATTAGTATGCAGTCGTTAAATATTACCGGAACGCAATTTGCACGAAAAAGGGATCTCGGGACGCAATTCGTTTGCTGCGGTTTTAATAATACCCAATAGTATTATTGGGTACCCACTGTTATTATAATATAGATAGACTTATGAGTACTAGTATTATAGTATGAGTTACATACTACAATAATATGTATTCATACGGACAGTGCAGGGAGTCGTCATAAAAATACAATAATAATAATAATAAAAGTTTTCATGTTTCCATATCGATATCGAAAAGTCACCGATATCTACATTATTTCTCGTTCGAGATTTTCTCGGGCTGTCGGGTTGTTGTTCACGGGACGATAAAATGGGCGGTCGGGAATTGGGCCACATTTGATACCTGCTTCGTAAACAATATTTCTGTATGCTTTATTACCCGGAGATTGGGCCACAAATGTGACCCGATAAAATACAATTCACAATCAACCAAATAATTATTAATTTTTTCTCTTTACTCGATAGTAATTGCATGCAATTTTTTTACAGTACCATTTTTTTTTTTTCTAAATAAATATGAAATACAATATAACATTAGTCAAATAATAATTTTTTTTTTTTTTTTAAAAAAGTGTCGTCGACACCGATTGATTGTAACGAACGTAAGAAATTTAAATTAGAAATCGTAGAAAAAATAACAATACGGTTTGAAATAGTATAGTAGTGTTAAATAGTGGTTTGCCCTTTGTCAAATCTAAAATGTATTAACATATAGTAGCCCATAATTACCGGGTTCAATAATGAAACAGTGCCCCAATTCCCGGACGGCCCGATTAAATAATATCGCGTCATCCGTATTTTGTAAACAACAACAATAATATACACATCGAGAGTTTATTTAGGTAAGTATATGGTGCGCAACATTATTAATAATACGTTTCGCTCGAGAACGGCCGCTAACGGTGTCCGTTCCCCCCCCCACCCCCCAATCACTCCTATCCGGAGATCAAGCGTCTAAAATTATACGTTTTCCCGCGGACGCCAACGACGCGCCGCGCGGTGACTATAAACGCCACCGACCACCCCTCGCGCGCCCGCCCGGTGGCGGCGAGTCGCTAAACCGAAGCACCGGCGCCCGCCCTCCGCGCGTATCAGTGCACGTTTCGCCGAACCACCGGGACGTTCTCTGCAGTCGCCCAGATCCGCCGCGCCGCCGTCGCTACACAAAATAATTCGGGCGCGAATTTCCCGTTATCGCGTGCGCCGTTCGGCCGATAAAATATTTCGTGTCTCGTTTTTGCCATTATTATTATTATTATTATTATTATTTTTTTTTTTTTGCTTGCTTTTCGGCAAAATTACGTAATATCAACAATACCTATGTACTCGCGGAACGTTATCGATAATTACGGTGCCTAATAATATTATAATATAATTGTCAATAAACGTTTTTCGACAGCTGTAGGTACTTATATTATAATATTATCACTTGCCGATTTTCATTTCGGTATACGGTTTTTTTTTTCCCGCGTCTGTATATGAGTGCGCCTCTCTTCCTTATATTATAATTATATAGATTCGCAATAATATAATCCACGACGATGGACAACGGCAATTCCTATTCGTACGACGACGATCTCAGTTATCAGTATGAAGACGAGTACAAACGAGGTATTACGCCCATTAATATTTATTTACTTATACTCGCCAGCGTGTCGATTATTGTTGTCTATTAAAAACATCTGCCAATTCTATTATTGGCCGCGGCGGCGGGGTTATTATAAAAAAAAGCGGTTATGGCTGATAAGAGTTTTACAGTTGAAATAACCCGTGCGTTTTTGTCTGATTTGATATTCGATATTATACAGCTAAGGGCGCCCGCAGTAATATAAACCGGGAGGGGGGGAAGCAAACGATATGTCATTGCTTACGAAAACAACGATTCTGAGCGGAGTTCAGTTTATAGTGGTGCTTTGTCGACAATATATAATATGGCATATAAAAATGCCGTAATATTTTTTTTTTATTATTATTATTATTTTTTTTTCTAACATACCTACATTTTGTACATTTCCCGTTTTTCCTTCGTTTTTTTTTCGGTTTTTCACATTTGACGAGAAAACTTCTCCTAATCGAAAAATTACCTCTCTAAAGTACCTCCCCAACAAGATTTCCTTTCAGAAAAGATGCTGCACTTAATATTTCGGAGCAAGATCTCTGGTAGAAAAGTTGTCCACAGAAAAAAAAAACATCATTGTACAACCATAAGCTTCTTCGCTCTACTCAGAATCTAATCTTAGACGTAATATTGGGCCAGTAAATATGTAAATGGACCGCATAGAAGTGAAAATCTCGATAGGCCGGTACACATCGATTCGGCCCTGGGCATGGCCCCCACCGGCCCACCCCTGCGGGTGCCCTTATATACAGCCGGTGCGGAATATTACAATAATAAACCGGGTTCCCGATATCGTTGTCGATTTGAAATAATCTTGACCGTCTCCGCCGTTGCGAAGGGGTTTTCGTTACGGCCAGGGACGTCACGATTAAAATTTTGGCGGATGTGCGCGAGTCGGTAAGAAGAACGTCAACAATATAGGTGTTTGGTAATAATCAGTATCAATAACAAACGGATTAATTCCAGTGATAATTCAAAATAATCTTGTTAATACGTAAAACACTGCTATGAAAATAGTCATAACCACCATCTAGGTACCTGTTTTATATACAAGCAGGATGATCACTTTGTTCGCCGTACTCCTACGCCCTCCCATACACATTTGTTATTACTTTTTTATCAACGTTTTTTGCTATTGAAAATCGTGAAGTTTTGATTATTTCATAATAATTATTTTATACTAAAAACTAACTTTTCGACTAATACAAGTATATTGTTATATTGTTATAATATTTTTTAATAAACATTGTTCACACATTTGTTAAACCTCAAACATTTATAAAACGCTATTACTGTTGCCTTCGTCACATAATACATATTATATATCTACACGGGAGAAAAATTATATCCATTAACACAACCACCACCACCACGACAAGAATATGGTTAGGTTCTTGGCTAAATCTGAACCCCTTGTTCAGCACCACTTATTAATTCTATTTAATCGACTATCAAGTATTTTGTATATAAATGTATTGATAAATCGTTTATGTAAAGTGTTTTTCAAGAGATAAAACTTTGTTCCGTCAATTACCATTGAATTTCAAATAAAAATTTTAGACAGGCCATTGACATTAAAACTGGCAATATAATTTGACATCACTAGACGCGTGACGTGGACGTCGTATTTAAACCGGATTAAGAACTAGGCTAAAGCATTTGCCAACTTGAGATCGTTGGTGTAAAAAAATAATAGGAACCTACGCATATAAGTAGAGGTAACTAATTGTTTTCCATGAATTGACTAGGTGCATTTGTCCAGGTGGACAACAATAAAAAATAAAATACAAGGCTAAAAGTGCTTAAGTAAATATTGTGCATCATCGTTTGTAAATGTTCACCCCACCTCATTAGTCTTAGTAGTCGTGTGACGTCAAAATTTAATGAAAAGTCGTGTCGGTCGATACATTATACGTGTACAATATTTGCATATTACATATCTATACCGATGTATACCTAAAAATAATTTAGCGTAATGAGTATTTTTACATTCGATCGATTTAGTATATTTCATAGGTAAAATGTGTCTTGATATGCTTAGGGCCGGAATGGCCCAGTGGTCTACTGTCTTAGAGGACAATGGACCGCTGTTCTTGGTTGGGTTGTGAGCCAGTGCCTGGTTTAACGGTACGGTTATAATAGGTAAGACGTAATAGGAGACGATGAGACAGCCGTGAGTATATTCGCATTTAAGTATTAAAAATAAATTGAAACGTATGATTTTAAAACGGTTTGGGTTTAGTAAACTGGCGCGGAAAGTTCGTTGATAATCTGCACGTAAAAACAATAATCTTTAATAATGTATAAAAACTTTTTATATTAAAAGAAAAGTACGAAGAATCCCGGGACTTTGTTCTCTCCCGCCATATAGGTACAAGGTCATTTAACAAGTTTATGTATATTGTTTTAGCCGCTATATCTGGGATATGTTTTGTCCGAATCTCACAAACTGCTTAAATATTGTGACTTAGATATTAATACTATTATTATTATTAGCAAATTTTACTATCCATTTGTAATAATATGATAAGGTACCCGTTTCTCGCGTCTTTATAATAGGTATATTATTCCAGATTCTGTTGTACAATAATACAGTTTGCGATAACGCTCAAGCAAAAATATTATAATATTCGTATGAATGGCAATGGGGCGTTATGTACTCGTATATAATACGGACTATATGATTAGGTATAGGTATATACACGTTCCTGCACCTACTCATTCTCAGACAACTCGAGACGTGGAAATTGAAATACATTTTCAAGAATTAAAAAAATAAATATAGCTTTTACACGTACACCGCCGCCAGATTTGTCGGTGTATACATAATGTAATAACATATATATATAAATAATTTTACGTAAATAGCTACGAACAAGCTTTATATATACCTACCATACTTGAAAATGAAAAAAGAAATCGTATACACTTTTCGAATTGCATTAGCTTATACTCGTGTTTGTATATTTACCAGTACCTACATAAACAACTTGTATATAAACCTATTCAAACAAAATATAAGTTGTACAAAGTTCTGAGAAAAACACTTTCGGAACTAAACACAGAACCTATACTACGCATACATATATGTATACTGTATAGCGTATATATTCTATATTTGCATATGGTAAAAACGTTATGCATTTGAGACTTAAATAGGTTCAATTTGAAATAATGTTATTCAAATTGAACATTTTTATGTTCAATATATAGTATTTGGTGGATGTTAAAAGATTAGGGTTTTAAATTGTAACCTCCAACTTTAATCGATTTCGAATCTATATTAAAATATAACCTAGTGCGCGTGCATATTATGAAACTAGGATTAAAGAGAATATAAAACATAAAATTAAATTGCAGGAAAAGTAGCGCCGAACGTGTTCCTCGGGTGATTTAATTAAAAAGCGTATACTAACAATAATGCCTAGATATAGGTACCTATTTTATCATTGGGTACAAGATAAATTTAGTTATTAATTATACTTATAGTGAGTTTTAGATAAATTTATTAGTACAAATAAAATTAGAAAACAATAATAACTAGTGTAGTATGCAAATATAAAATTCAGATTATTCGGCAATTCAATAATTATTTAATATTTTAAAGTCTACAAAACTAATTTCTTCGTTTTTTTTTTCTTTTTATATCCTACCTGATTATCATTACTATACATTATAAGTTAATGTATTATCGTTGCAAAGCGACTGCTACTACGTAAAAGGTAGATTTCGTAGATATTCCCTATTTTTATCAATTTTTAATTAATAATACCAACTGATACTGAATATTTTGTTTTCAACGTCGCCCACGAAAAAGGTCGTATCTCGTCTATTCGTCCGAAGAAATTAGTAATAATTTATTTAAATAATATACAGAAATCTTGGTTTCCATTAATACATATACAGATACGACGAATAGACTATCCACGAAAGTAATTATTCACCGAAAAAGGTTGCAAGTCAATACTGACTGTAATACTTTAAATACAAAAGACATTTTTCGTCGGCAGATATGCGTAATACTTTTTTTTTAAAGAAATAACTCTTGAAAATACTTTTTTTTTCTGAAAAATTAAATTAAATATTATTATTAGAGAAGTCCTATATTCTAAAAATATTCTAATTTCTATACATTAATGTTAAAAAACAGAATAAGAAATTAAATTAGAATGTTTATTTTATTTACCCTAAAAGTTGGAAAAAGTGTCATGCTGCAGGACAACCTTTTTCGTTGCGGCTTGCGATGTATTATTTTTACTATCATTATTTTGTAAAAGGACAAAACATGGATAAAAAAAAATTTTCGAAATAAGCAAATTTTAATCATGTCCCATTTTTTGTTAGTACTTTCAGCTCCGATGTAAAATTTTTGAAATTGAATATGTAAAGAATACGTCCAAGTACTTAGAATAAATTAAGCTTACATATTGATAATTTAATATACAAATGTATATGTATAAGTATGTCTTAATATTTACATACATATACACAGATGTGCATTTGAAATATTAAAGTATGTCAAATATTATACCTAATATTATAATCTCTTTAACGATACGTATGTAGGCGCATTTACTAATTTACCTACTCTTGCGTCATAACATGTTAAGCTAACATTATATTAAATTATATAAAAGCGTACGCACGGGGGAAGCAGGGACACTGCCTCCGCTTCCTCTGCGAGATTTTTCCGCCAACAAAATGTTTTTAAAAATATTATATTATAATAAAATATTATCAATATTTTATATTAGATATAATTTTTTTAAAACTTTGAACCCTATAACTACGTCAGAAGACGTATGGAACTTTAATCTAATGTATTTTATAAAAGCATTTAGGATTTTTAGAGGCATTCATTATCATTCATGTTGTCTTCGATTTTTTATTATTATTTGAATACTATACAGTCGTACTGCCGTAGTATAATAATATATGCAGTTATTTGAGTGTAATTTTTTTTTTCATTATTATCGAAACGGACTTATTGAAAACGGTTGAGGTATTTTTGTATTTTTAACCTAACCGTATAGATCATAAACTTTTTTAAGAAAATTAAAGAAACAAAAATCTGTATTTTAATAATACATATGAATCGATGATTGCAGAAACTTCTCAAGTTTATTATTAAAAACTTTTGGATAACTTATAAAAGATGTGTAGTATAAATAATTTTTAAACTAGTGACTAGTGATGTCTGCAATCATTAATTATACATTTTACGTATAATTTAACAGGTAAATGTCCATGTTGTCCTCGATTTTGTCTAAGGATTGATTTTAATGGTCACTGTCTTGCTTGTTAAGAGGAACTGCGCACCGTAATGTTAAATTATTTACATAAACATAATAATATAGGTACCTAATACGTTGGTGAATTACCTATATAGTTGCATAAATTATTATCAATAAATCATTATTAATTAGTAATCTATATAAAAGCCGCGTACCTACAAGAGCCATCCGCAGCGTTATCATATTATCATTATTATTGTGTACCTATACCTACGTTTCGTAATACTGCAATATTATATTTTATCTTCCGGCTATAATAATAGTGAAATATGGAGAGTAAAATATGTCTAAAATAATTTACAGTTTTATTCCCAAGTGAATAAATAAGATAGGATACGTATAGTTTTCTCAATTCATTATCACGCGGTGAGCTGTGACCGAATCTCTGAGTCTCGTAACATTTTGAATAATAAACTATCCGTAAAAGGTATAATATACAAACATCATTTCATAAAATATAATGCACTGGAATTCGGAGGTACATTATAACCCAAGCGTTGTTCTAACGGACAGTAGCCAGTAGGACTCAAATTGGGTAGTTAGAAATTTCAAAAGTGCTGATGGCTCCACAAATTTAAGCCTATTAGATGTTTGTTAGCTATTGTGGACCCTACTTTTGTTTATTAGTATATACTTTTCATCAACGTTAAATTCTTTATTATTTGTAAATATGTTATTCGTTCTTTACGTTTCTGTATTTTTAATGTATTTGTTCAAAAAGCATAGTCTGTATAAATTAATAAATAAATAAATATGTGAAAAAAACACATGAATAGCAGAACTCTATTACTAGAGTCGAATTTTCTCCTCTCTGACTTATTCCCGTTACAATATTTCATATGATTATTTTTATAATGAATGATAAGAAATTAAACATAAAAAGTTCTGTCAAAATAGGTAAGGTGGTTTTCGAGATTTTTACTAACGAATACACACTATAGACGGTGGGGTTGGGATTAGAAGTTCTAACCTTCCAAATACACATCCTCGACAACAACTCTATTTGCATCAACTTAAACACATTTTAACCAAGTTACTTACTTTCATGAATCTTTGAGGAAATTTAAAACCCAGTGTTTCCAGTGAAATATGAAATCTGTGCATAAAAATGGTTGAGGAGTGTGTTGAAAGTTGAAACCACCAAAGGCACATTATTGATAATTACACTGTGCATATACAACATTTCACCCCCTGACTTCATTTTGGGAATCTTTAGAGGTTTACAAAGCTAAAGAAATGGTGAATTTAATATCTAAATTCTGTCAAAATGTTATCTCTTCAATCTTCCAATAAAACAGCTCTGATATCCAAGTATGGACTCAAATAAGAAAGAAGATAGAAATAACTAATAAAATGATCCAAAAGTACCGAGAAAAAGATATATATACATATAAATATAATAGACACAATATAATTTTCAATATTTGTGACTTGTGCACTTACTCATATTTACTCATGTCTCATCGTATATAGTCTTAACATATTTCTGATTAATGAAAGCCAATCGTTTGCGAATAAACAATGTTATATAAACTGACTATCACATTTTATTGTTATAAAAGTGAAATCTTATAATAACGAAAAAAAACATGTTTAATGTAACACAAAAATAACTAATAACTTTATTTCATTAAAAGAAACATTTCATATCTAAGCGATAATGACAATTACGAAAACCGCATGGTTTATATCTAAATCAAGAAAATGGATTTCCAGTTATTTTAAAATGCTAAAAATAATCGATCAAATCAAATAGGTAGTTTAAGAAGAAAAGGTTTTCAAAAGACCATGTTCAACATTTGCATTAAGTACAAATTCATAGGCGTGTCTACGGTGGCAGTCTAGGGTGCTTGGTCTGCTCCTGCAATTTTCAAAAGACATCGGTCAACCAAATTGTATAACTAGTGGCTTACAACTTTCATTAAAAAAAATTTCTTATGCATTGTTTATAACAAAATATTATTTTCTATCTGTCTATCATTTTTATTATTCTATAAACTAACACATCATATATTTTTGTAATTACTTAACTATATAGCGGTGTAATCCTGGCTTGAATAATATTTCTGTAGTTAAATTTAAAGGTACTAAAAATATTGTACACTTTATTTGTAAATAGATATTACAGACTTTTTAAAATTATATAAATATTTAATTAGGGGGACTAACCTTTCCCCTCTATTTAAAGAGGATTTTTTTGGTTCATTAAGTGGCACCAGTCATTAGCTAGGCTGCCGCTGAGGATAAAGTCTAGTCACGTCTATGTACGATACAGACATATATTTATATTTATATACAGTTCACACTAACAGGTACCACTAAATATTTCAGTTGGATGATCTTGTATTGAAATGGGGTTTTTGGAGAATGATAGGTAATATCGAAATACACATTTTCAAACAAATTTCAAATTTTTAACCTTTTCGGACGCACATGTGTAATACAATTTACTTTTTTTTAAATGACGATACCATTTTTTCATTTATCCAGACAGGAACTTTGAACAATTTATAAGATAAAACAGTAGTTGCAAGTATATAAATCTTAATTTCAAACTCGTAGTGTGTACATTTTTATAATTTTTACTACATTTATTTCGGAAGTATGAATGGCAAAAATGAGAGTAAATTACGAAAACAAACAGAGACGCCGAAAGCTGGTTTTTCCTATGACAAATGTCCTGGGTAAATAAGTGGGTAGATCGGTTTGTAGGTGGGTATAATGTGAAGAAAAATAGGGACCTCAATTTTACTATAAATATTTTACTATATTAAGTTATAATAATCACTGATCTATATTGTTTAGAAGAGGATAATTTTTGTTAGTGGATGGGACGTGGATCGTGGATGGGTGGGTGTAGTGACTCAAAATAAAATTGTCATTGATGTTTCAAAATACATCAGCGCCCATGAAAACAAATACGAGTTTATTTGTGTTTTATCTGTCGACAGACAAGTATTTCTCAATATCGGAGATATTTCGATTTTCAAGGTATAAGTTGAACATACTTAATTTTATCAAAACCAGATTATTCGTTTTTTTTTTTTTTTTTTTTTTTTTTTTTTTAAAAAAANAATAAAAACATGATGAAATGAAGAGAGGAGTCACCCAGTGGTAACACTGCCCTAACTTGATGCAGATTATTCGTAAATATTAAATTTCAGCATACTGTAACATTGCTAATTTTGTAACTAGAAAAAATTTTTCATACAAAAATTGTTTAAAAAAATTATCGATCCGAATCTGTTGAAAAAAAATTGTATTGCCATTTAAAAAAAAGTAAGTTGTATTACGCATACGTGTACCGACAGAATTAAAATTTGAAATTTATCTGAAAATGTCTAATTCAGTACTCCCTATCATTCCCCGAAAACTCCATTTCAATACTAGGTCATCCAACTGAAATATATTAAGTGGTACCATTTTGCGTGAACGTACTCATATCATAATAATTATAATGTATAGATTATGGGTTTTGATTATCGGTTGTGTGATACAACATACAAATATATTTGAATTATAAATAATTAATGTAAAAACCTTGTGGAATAATTTTGGACCTAATTTGTACTTATACATTACTATATAAATATTATTATATTTATTAATTATTTAATTTATTTATTATTTATTATTTATTCATACCTAATAAATCTCCAGCAATTTTAATTTCATCATTCTAAATCAAATATAAGAACTTTATTACGTGTACCTATATTCGTTAAAAAAAATTACTCTTGCCCAGTACTCATAGTTAAATCATTACATTATCTACAGCTATACTATACAGGTCAAGGACGGATCCAGAGTGGTCCTAGGGACCCAGCCCCCCCCCCAGACTTATTATTACTCCAATTTTGGATTCTGAGTGGAACGAAGTTTTATAAAGATGTTAGTTTTTTTTTTCTGTGCACAATTTTGCTACCAGAAGACTTGCTCGGATTTCTACGTGTCGCGCCTTTTCTGAAGAGAAATTGGCGTGGGGAGGTACTTTCAGTAGGTCAATTTTCAATTTTCTCAAGACTTTTCTCTTCAAATGAGAAAAACAAAAAATAAACGGGAAAATATAAGAAATATAGGTATTAGTTAAAATATATTACGGCCTTCTTTTTTCCTGTGCACAACTTTCCTACCAGCAATTTTCCTCCGAAATTTAATAATAGCAATATTTCTAAAAGAAAATTTCACTAGCGAGGTACTTTAAAGAGGTCATTTCCCAATAGTTTTTCCAGTAAATTTGAAAAACCGGGAAAAAACATGGAAAAACGTAGGAAAACTGGGAAAATCGGTACAATAAACAAATATTATTAAAGAAAATATACAGAGCCTATTTAATTAATTTACTATAATATATAGCCTATATATATATATATATATATTGTTGATAAAGTATTACTATCAACTAAACTTCACTCAGAATCGTTTTACCGTAGTAAACAATGGTTTATCGTTGCTTTATTATGTTTGTATTGTAAAAAAATTATTCCCCCCCCCACCAGATTATTGCTTTGGATCCATACCTGATATAGGTACTATATGGCAGTACCTAGTTATATACAATATTTTAACAATGTGATTTTTTAACCTGAATTATATACTTCTATAATATTGACTGTCAGTATAATTAGTATTCATTACAATGCTATGATATAATATAACTATCATTTAGCTTAACCAGAACGAAACTTTGGAGAATTTTAATTTTGCAATTTTCTCATTATTCTCGATCGCTTATAAATAAAAAGTCTATTTTCCTGAATATAGAACATAAATATACAAATAATAATATTAAATAGGTACTTAAAATATAGTCGTGGAGATATTTCGAGAAGAGATATAACGACTCCCTTGACTATTTTACTATCTCTAAGGATTTTAAATCAAACGGTGGTTAAAAATTGACATGGACAATTTTTTCAGACGAAAAAGAATAATATCATTTCTTACCTATATCAATATACTATTACTGCTGCTTCAGACGATAAAAATTTTTGAAACTTTATAGTACTATAATAAAATTGTACAATACTATTATTGTCGAAATTGCTTATCATTGCCATAGAATAAAAAATAAGTATATGTATAAATGAAATAGCAAACGATTGTAATACGTCGTGTATTGTGTTATATGAGTTCTAGAAGGTGTATAGTTACTTGTAAGACAGTTAAAATTTAAATATACATCAGGCTTTACTTTAATGGGAACGTAATACTCAATTTAGGTACCCAAAATCTCAAAAGTGCATTTAGCTCCACGAATTCGGGCATCTATACACACATCGCACGTATATAATATATTCAAAAGTTCATGAGCCGTCTTTAAGAATAAGTCTTTATGAATATTTTCAACTGGATTTTAACTAAATTACAACAAGAAAATAAAAGCATTATTTTCGTAAATTTTCCCGTTCTTTCCATGTTTTTTTTTTGTTTTGCTCAATTATTAAAACAATCTATTAAGAAAATTAAAAAATGACTTATTTACACACCAACTAGATTAAAAATGCAACAAAAAAGGTCTCTTGTTATTTTTCAATGGGAGCAATATTTATGGTAGAAACATCGTGCGTAAAAATTTAAAAAATTTAAATATTGCGTAAAATATTGAAATTATAACGACGTAAATTTGTTAGTTTTCATTTTTCGTCTTTTTCTGATTTTATCAACTATCATAAAAATTATTTGGAAAATTAAAAACCGACTTTCTTTGTGAGCACTTAGATCCAAAATGCAACAAAAAAGGTCTTTTGTTGGTTTTCTATTGGTGCAGTTTTTCTGAAAGAAAACAGTTTGCAAAAATTAAAAACAATAAAATCAGTAACGCCGCGGTGCGCCTTAAATATTTGACATTTTACCTATAATTTTCTTTAGGTTTTTTCAATTATTTTGAAAACCCCTTAGAAAATCAAAAAATAACATCTTTAATGCACTTACTAGAGAAAATTACCTTTCAGAATTGGTACTACACTCTGTATATCGGAGTAAGATTTCTTTTCAAAAATTATTTATAGACAAAAAAAACACACATTATAGTAAAACCAATAGATCTCTCGGTACGTTTCAAATCTAAAATACACATCATTATTAACCAATAAATAAATACAATCCCTATTAGTAGACTTTTTTTTGAAATCGAAAAAGTTTTTATACTCCTTATTTTTTAGCGGAGTCTTTTGGCTTTTGACTGGTAGAAATGAAGTGCTTAGAAAAAGGAATATAATACATAACAAGTAATATTATACCGAGTCAATTTTTACCCGGTATCTATCGTGTGGAAATTGCAACTTACATAATATTATAGGTATATCTATTACCTACGAACATACAGTACAGCATTTATTTTTAGTATCGTAATAACTAACGTATAATATACCTATTAAATAATTACTAACCTATTATTAATTAAATAGAAATAGTTGCATTATAACAGCCATAAAGCCCTAAAAAAATAGGTCAGTTCAAGTATGAGTATCGGAGTATACGTTTATCTTTATTCTAAATGTCGTCGAAAACCAAATGATTTGTAATATTGTAATAATATTCGCCTTTTGTGTATGTATGCATATCATCCGCGTGTGTGTGATTACTGTGCCATATAATTATTTATTATATTAGCACGGAGTTAAAATACAATCCGGTTGATTTTTATGATCAATTTTTTTTACATATTATAAGGGTTCCTTGATGGGCATAATGTGTCATATTTCTTAAGAAAAAAAAAATTTTAATAGAAATCAATTAATAGAAAAAGGTATTAACGTCAGTGTACTGCGAAATATAATTTGGTTTAAGTAATTACAATAATATTCTCAAAACATTTTAAATTTACGTTTTATAAATAACTAGGGTTCCCATACTGCTTTACCCATGTCAGTAATGAACGAAAAGAAGCATAAAAAACATTAAAAGCCTAAGAAAATGTGATAACAAAATGGGATGATGGAAACAGGTGTAGCTACTGTTACAGGTGAGAAGTTGAAAAGGTAGTAGAAGAGAAATTTAAAGTATATCTGTAAGCAACGATAAACCATTTTTAACAAAAATACAATTCTGAAAGGAGTTCGGTTGATAGTGTTGCTTTGTCAACAATATATTTTTCATATTGTGGTAAAATAATTAAATAGGCTCTGTATATTTTCTATAATAACATTGGTTTAATATTGTACCTATTTTCACTTTTTCCCGATTTTTTCCATTTGTTGGGAAAATTCCTGGTAAAATCAAAAAATTACCTTTCTAAAGTACCTCCCCAATCCGATTTCCTTTCATAAAAAGTGCTATCATTGCAATGATTTTATTTTTCATTAAAATACTTTTTGTCTCTTATATACCGTATTACATATTATTATATATTTCAAAGATTTTATATAATATGTGTACCTATGTATTAATACATTTTAATATAAACATATATTTAAAATGTTATACAGTATACACTTAAACTTTATCCTTTATATTTTCTATAGTTTTTTTTTAAATGCCATTTAATCTGAAATTACCAATAAAATTCATAGTTACAAAAACTATTAATGCGTATATACTCGTATTGCGCAAAATATCGTATGAACAATAAACATATACGGCACGCGGCGACCATTGAATTGGCTCCTTGAATCCAACCCCAAGAAACTGTATTGAATTCTCTCTATAATATTTTATCAACAAATGGTTCTCAAAATATTTTTAAAATGAAAGTTGAAAAACAAACGAACATACTTCACACGATGGGTGGGCCACTGTTGTAGGTGAGAAGTTGAGAAGATAGAGGGCATATTTAATGTATATCTGTTCGCAACGATTAACCAATTGCTAACGAAAAACAATTTTGAGCATAGTTCGGTAGTACATGTTTTGAAAGGCTGTAATATTTACGATTTTAAAATAAAACATTTCGTAATTTTTTCCGTTTTTCCAAAGTTTTTCTCAGATTTTCCCATTAATTATGAAAACCTCTGGGAAAATCAAAAAATAACCTCCCAAAAGTATCACTCTAATAAAAATTCCTTTCAGAAAAACTTCTACACTTGAAAATCGGGACAATATTTTTGGTAGAAAGGTTGTTCACGGAACAAAAAAGATATGGAGCCAATTCAATTTGTTGCACCGAACGCAAATCACATTTTAAACTCTAGGTGGAACAAGCATTGGTTTTACAATGCTGTTTATTTTTTATTTTTTTATTTTAACACTTTTTCTACCAAAAATCATACTCCGATTATTAAGTATAGCATCTTTTCTGAAAGAAAATTTTCTCTGGGTTGTATTTTAGGAAGGTCATTTTTTGAAATTCTCATTAATATTTGAGATAATGAAGTAAACCTTGGGCTTTAGGTTGGAAAAAAAATAAAAGATTAAAAATAAGGTTGGCATTAGCAACTGTTTTTATTTATTTATTGTTATTATTAGGATTTTACTATTTTAATCTTTTTTAAACAATTATTGTTTTCATGAAAACGCACATTGTTGTAATCATTTTACCATACTATGACATATACCATATATTGTATTATTGACAAATCAACACTATCAACTGAACTCTGCTCAGAATCTTTTTTTTTTATTAGCAATGGTTTATCGTTGTTTACAGATATACATTAAATTCTCGTTTATATCCTACCTTTCCAGTTTCCCACCTATAACAGTGGCTGCATCTACGTATGAAGTATGTCCGTCCTTTTTAAACTTGTCTTAAATATGAATTAACAAATTAAAATTCTATTTGTATATATACCAGAATATACGTCACTTTAGAAATTTTGATAATAGGACATAAGTCGAGGTGGATCCAAGACAAGACAACGAGAGACAGGAGAGGTTAATTTTGGAAATCCAGATTTATGGTGAAAAATTAAGCTATAGGATATTGGGAGTAACCACGGGAGAAGGGGGAGGGGCGATCGCCCCATCGAATCCTCCTGGATCCACCATTAATATAAGTACACGTATATACTTCTATTATATTAAATATAAGCTGTGCAATCTTAAAGTCTTAAAATTTTATATCGATTAATATAGTTACCGAGCTAATATTAAGATTATTTTTTGAAAATATATTATATTCAATATAATATAGTTAATACTAACAAAAGTGTAGTGATCAATACATTTAAAATGTATGAATGTATTTTACCTAAATAAGTATAGGTATTAGGTATATGTTATGCAGGCCACAGAGTGAATAATTAAATGTGCTCAATCCAATTTAATGGTTGAATTTTGCACGTATTCAAATTCTAATTTTTAGAATTTTTAATCATCTAAGTATTTGAAAATATTGGCTATTGGGTTCCATTTGATCCATAGTACTTTTCTTTTTTGAATTTCAGATATGAAAGGATCCATTTTTTTATGTACAAAAAATACAAATTTTATAAAAATGTAATTATATTATAAATTATTTGTAAGTATATTTAATTCTATTCACGAAAAATTTGGTCTTACCCGGACAACGTTGCGTTGAAAAATAGAGCATGTTCTATCGTACATCGTTCATCATATGAATACTATACCAGTGAGGACGTATATTCGTACTTTGCAGCAGTTTGTTTTATTTACGTGCACGCATCGCCTACAACGCACACAACGCACAGATTCAGTTAGGACTTGGCGTTAAAAATTCTGAAATTCAGTGAGTATGCTTAATGAATCACTCTGGATATTATTTGAAAATAATGTCATATTCCCTCATAATATTAACAGTCAAAAACTAAAATTGTATTTTAGATACCTATCTGCATTTTCTTGTCTACACTCTACATCATAGTTTAGCGAATCCGTTGACTCCAAAAACTGCACACTTGTGATAAAATTTAGGCCAAAACCGCACACTTTTAGTAGGTTAAAACTGCACACATTTATTTGGTGAAAACCGCACACTTTTTTAAAATTGTTGTATCCAAAAACCACACAACTCATAATGGTATATAATGGATTATTTATTATTTATATATGTATTAAAAACAAATTGTTTAGATATAATTTATATAGGTATTGCAAAATGTATCAGATATGAAACCACTAAAAACCACAGGCATATCAAGTTATGTTTACGCACATTTCAATGGATAACTGTACTGGAAAAATATTTAATATTAATTGGACAGTTTACCATAAATTTATTATAAGTTTAGTTGAAATATGTATAGCTAACGATTAATGGTTCGAGCATATCAATCTACAAGATGTAAGCATTTGTATGTAACAGATTAATTTAAAATTATATATACAACATGTGTATATATACAAGACGTGCGATTTTACCCACTATAAGTGTGCGATATTCAGCCTAACTAATATAGCGTGCGGTTTTTGTCTATTGACCTTTATGGAGTTGAAATCATATTTGTGCGATTTTGAGATGCAATCAGCGACGTTAGACGGTAATATTAATCATACTATGAGATAATGTAGATACACCTAATTAAATAGACATATAATATAAATAAACGGACATTTAATGTGCATTTATCGAACGCATAATATTTTATTTATTTAAAGCATTCGAAAAGTTGTACTTCAAAACTTGTAGACTTCATTTTTTTCCATTAGATGCCTAGCTATATGGAATATAGGTAATAAAACTTGTCATAAGGTTACGTAACAGAATATATTGCTATAATATTACGCTATACATTCACGCAGTTTTACTACCTGTATCATAAAATAAAATAAATAATGTAATTATATAAAATATACGAATTGTTCGTACATTTAAGTATTATATTATTGGCAATTTATTTGCTCGTAAAAATGTTATAACTACAACTTTTTCTTATCATGTGAAAAGTTGTGTAAATAGAGTAGTTTAAGATTCTAAGTCGAGCGAAGAAGCTTTTTTTTCTGTGGACAACTTTTCTACCAGAGTTCTTGCTAAGATTAGCACCTTTTCTGAAAGGAAATCGATGTGTACAAAATAAACGAAATATATTACTAAAATATAACGATTTTTCTTGTCTGTAGACAACTTTTCTACCAGCAATTTTGCTCCAATTTATAATGATAGCAATGTTTCTAAAAGTAAATTTAACTGGGGAAGTACTTTAAAAAGTCTTTTTTCAATTTTCTTAGGAGTTTTCCCAGTAATTGTGAAAAACCGGGAAAAACGGGAAAATCTGTACATACAACAAATACTATTAAAGAAAATGTATAGTACCTATTTAATTGCTTTACCATAATATGATATACATATATTGTTGACAAAGCATCACTATCAACTGAACTCCATTCAAAATTGTTTTTTTTTTTTTGTTAGCAATGGTTTATTGTTGCTTACAGGTATACATTAAATTACTTATAACAATGGCTACACCCGACCCCATTATCCTAGGACGTCTTTTCGTTCACGAATCTTATTCGCATGAGCTGAAGAATAGGGCCCCTGCTCGAAAACGTGTTTATACTTACGGAAAAAAAATCATATTGGCTACAAATAACTCGCGGCCCTTAATTTGTTTAAAATATTATCATGTACGGCTTGAAAGAAAAGGCGGACATCATCGGCAACGCGATATTTCGTTGTTATTAAAATAACACTAGATAAATTCTATTGCTCCTACGCATTAATTCCGATCGGTTGTTGGGAAAACGGTGAAAGGAACTCCGACAAAAAATATTTCATATTCCTACAGAAGAAACTTCTTGAAACATCATCGTCATGTCAGTTGCGGATTACCGAAACGAATTTACCAACATGACAGAAGTGGCCAAAACAATGATACCACTCATGCGAGACATGGATGGTAATTATTGTTAATTTATAAATTTATAATGACGGGAACACGATTTATCAGAATTGAGCATCAACTACGCGCGGATTAGATTTAAAAAAAATTCATACGATTTCAATACATACTCGTCATGTCGGTTTTTCCTTTTCGTTGCAGACCGAGCGATTTGCGAGAAATGGATAGCCCGTGCGAAATCGCTACAGGGCAAAGACGTAAACGTGCTCAGGCACCGGAATAATTTTATGAAGTATTTCCTGGGACTCATGAGGCAAACGATCGCCGAAACGGGACAGTCTCCGGGTTGTTGCGCGTGGGACGTGAGTAAAATAAAAAATCACCGCGAACATTAACCTTAAAATTCGTTTTCGTACACAGAGACCCGAACCCGGTGTTTTCGACAAACAGATACCGCCGCCAAAACCGTTGCCATACCAGTGCCACTGGACACCCGACAAGCGGACCTATGTGGCCATACAACCGTTGCCCAACCGCGGGGCTATGGTGTACATGGCCGTGGCCGAAAAACCAGAACTTGGATGGGATTTCCCCTCGAAAGACTAATAAAAAAAATAATACTGATCAGTTGTGCCAAGGTTCGGGCAATCGGGTATAACCTCCCACAAATATTTCCCCGCTAATAAACGTACACATTTTTAAAATAATCATCTTTCCGTTCTTATTTTGTGATAACGAGCATGTTGATTTACCATTGCAAGCCAATTTATATAATATAAAATGAGGAGGCGTGGGGGGTTTTATCAAAAAATGGATGGTTCAAATAACTCTCCTAAACTCTCACAAGATGTCTTCAATGCTATCACTGAAGAAGAGTATTTACTATGAACCCTACAAAATATTTGTTTTAATATTTGAATTTCTTATAATTAGTTATTAATGGTAAAAATTAAGAAAAATTATCTAGTTTCTCATTTATCTAGTGGGTACTAATTATTTTTAAAGGTGATTTTTTAATTTTTCAAGCGATTTTCATAATAATTGAGAATAACCGAGAAAAAACGTTGGAAAAACATAAAATGTACGTTAATGTATAAAAGAAACTTCGCGCCGAATCGTTTTTCGTTAGTAATGGTTTACTTTAAGTACAGATAACAATTAAATTTCCTTTATATACTACTTTCTCAACTTCTCACCTACAATCGTGGCCCATCAATCGTGCAAAGGGGGTTCGTCTTTATTTTTTAACCATAGGTATTTTATTTTAGATTCTGAGTGAAGCGAAGAAGCTTATTGTTTTACAAAGATGTTTATTCTTTTTTTTTTATCTATAAACAGCTTTTCTATCAAAAGACTTGCTCGGATTTCTAAGTGTTGCACATTATCTCAAGGGAAATCAATATGGGAAGGTACTTTAGAGAGATCGTTTTTCGATTTTCTCATAAAATTTAAAAAACCGAAAAAAACTGGAAAATATAATGAATGTAGGTATTACTAAAATATATTACGGCCTTATTTTTTTCTGTGCACAACTTTTCTACCAGCCATTTTGCTCCAACTTTTAATGATGACAATGTTTCTAAAATGAAATTTCACTAGGGAGGTACTTAGAAAATATTTTTTGATTTTCCCAAGAGTTTTTCCAGCAAATATGAAAAACCGGGATAAAACATGAGAAAATCGGGAAAAACGTAGGAAAACTGGGAAATTTGGTACAGCATTAAGCAAATATTATTAAAGAAAATATATAGAGCTTGTTTAATTATTTTACTATAATATGGCATATATATTGTTGACAAAGCACCTCTATCAATTGAATTCCACTCAGAATTGAATTTTCGTAAGCAATGGTTTATCGTTACTTACATATTAGATATACATACAATTTTCGTCTGTATCCTACCTTTCTAAATTCCTTCCTACACCAGTGGCTGCACCTGTCCCCATTATTTTACCATTCTTTTTCAGTAATTAATTTGTTTACATTACTATACAAAAAATAGTGGCATTATATATATATTCTACTCGGGAAAATTTTATTTCAAAATCAAAAGTATTTTTAAAAATGTTATTATTAAAGATAACGTTATAGATATTGAAAATAGTTCATACATTTTTCTGTGATTTATTGCAAAAAAAAAATAATTTAAAATGAGGAATGCACATGAAAAAAAACTAAAAGCATTTTTTTTTCTTTACAGATATCCATAAATATCTAATTGCATGTTCGCGATAAAACGAAATTTACTCTGTACATAGGTAGACACTGCAGACATCAAACGGTATTTGAATTTTTTCCTTTAAAATACAAAAATAAAAATGCATTCCTTTTTGCTGCCTTCGAATACAATGTAGGTATATAGGATTTCCGTAACTTAAATTAAAAATAACTGTTGGGAAAGAGACGTCTCAGTATTAAAAAAAAAAAAAGATTTCTATTTCTACAAACCATAAAGCATAAGAATATAACCAAATATTCATATTGAATTTGACCATGGCTGCAAAATAAAATTAAAAAGAAATATTTGTTTCTAGATTGTTCTTCATTGTTAAAATTGTATTATAACGCACAACATATTTTGTTCTATTTTTTCATTTTTAACGCGAGTAAATATTCATCTTTAAGATGATGTATAATGTATAAATATAAAAAAATAATTAAAATTAAGTTCCCAAAATTGTATTAAATTATTATTTCATAACATTATATTAATGAGAAAATACTTCATGTTTGAATCAGCTTTTAGAATTTATAATTGAAGAAGTATTAAAATATTATAGTTCAATAAGTATTACTACTTAAAAATCAATTCCGGTATTTATTATGTACGACATAATATACAAAATGAAGAAGAAGCAAACTTTTTAATAATTTATAATTATAAATTCAATACACAGTAGTTAATTCCACAATACACAGTGGCATATTTTTAGATTTTTTTTGGGGAGGGGAGTTGTTCTTATAATATTCACCTATATATATTATCAGAGATTAGTCATAAACTTATAGTGTGTTTACTCCTCCCCCCACATAGCACCACATTATTTATCAAATTGGAGGGAAACCCAAGACAGCCCTCCTAAAGTCACTGGCAATAAACGGTAATAGTAAAATAATCTTCGAAAATAAATTACTGTCTTATTATTGTTAGTTAAAATTACCTTATAGTCTAAGACCACAGGAGTTCAAGGTAAAAATAACAATTCAACTGTATAATAATATTATCTTTCACGTCCATAGTTTGCACAAAAAAATGTTAATTTAAATTTAAAACCGTAACTAAACAAAAATGTGTACTTATGTTTAATTATCAATAAACAAATTATGTAGTGTGATATACTTGTATAATAGACATACACTTATTTGTGGGTACTTCTATACATATATATATATGTATACATACATAAAGTTATTTAATTTATGTACGCAAACATAAACCATTGCTAACAAAAAGTGATTTGAACCGAAGTTCGGTAAGGCATATTTTAAAATGCCATCATTTTTTACGATTTTCGTTAAAATTTAATTTTAAAACGCTTATAAAAAAAACCAATGCATTAAACTCAAATTTGTTTCTTAGACCATTAAGTACAACTTATAATGTACCTTGTGTTAAATTTTCAAGTATTTTTTTTAAGTCATATAATTTTAATAACAGATAACTACCAAACAAAAATTACGTAAAGAAACTCACAAAATTAAAATGTCTATAAAAAGCTCAAAAATGACTCAAATATTTTGTAAACTTGCGACATCTAGAAAAATCAAATGTAAGTTTTTGTCAAAATTTTAAGACTACGAATATTTTTAACAAAATTACATTAAAAAAAAGAAAATTTAAAATATAAAATAAAAGAATTATTTTTTTTAATTATCCTGCATTTTCTACGTATTTTTCTGTTTTGCCCAAGTATTTAAAAAACTACAAAGAAAATTAAAAAACGACTTCCATGGTCGCCAACTAAATTAAAAATTCAACAAAAAATATCACTTGTCTTTTTTCTATTGGGACAATATTTATGGTAGAAAACATAAGCTGTATAAATTTAAAATAATAAAATCGTTGTGTCGTAATTTGAAAAAGTCTTATAACCGCTTATTAGGCTTAAATTATATTATTTAAGCTATAAATATTTCGTTGTAATTTAGTACTCTCCTAATTCTGGAGCCACTATAGATGTCCAGCACTATATATTAAGTATTAATGATTCGTACATAGGTATTAGGTACCTACCATAATAATACACAAAGTTTGGCAGTGTTGTTATCACACTATTGTTATAAGTAGTAGAATACCTCTATGTATAGTATTTACCTATAGGTACTTAGTACTCGGTACTAACTACTGGTTATAATAATATTATGTCCTTGTGGTACTACAGGTAGGTATAGACTAGATCCAATATAATAATATAATACATTCCCATTTGAGTACCAATGTAGCGTGTAGGCAGAGATGAATATTATGAAAAAGTATATCTACTGAATGTCAGGAAATGCAATCATGTTTTGACGTAGGTACATTGATCATATTATGATACACTACGGATCAAGATTAGGGAGAGGAGGCTACAACCAACAACCTCACATTTTTTTTTTTATAAAGCATACAAATATTAACTATTATAAGGTATAATTATTGTTTCACATTTCACAGTATCACACTACTTGTTTATTATACAATGTATATATTTATTTTTTTATTTTTTTTTTTTTTGTATATAACTATTTTTCATCTATATAATATCACCTTCATATTAAAATCAATAGCACCAAGTGTTTTTATTTTTATTTTAACATTTAAACAAAAGTCACAGTATTGATAACTTAGTTGCAGCTTTAAATATTAAACATAAATCTTCTACAAAATCCAATGACTCTTTACCAGACTATGATGTATTAATAAATATTAATGAATCAAATTGTATTTCTGTAAACCCTTAGGAAAATATTAAGCTATATTTAGCTATTACAGGATATAATATAATATAAATAGGGTTAATGAACTATTTTCATATGAAATCATAACTAGTTTAAAAAATATATATATGCCTGTTATGAGAAAAAAATGTGAAGTTTCTGAAATAAATTAAGTAAAAAACATATTTAACATTCTTTAGAAATCTATTTTCAAAATTTAAAAGTTAATATTTGCGTATCAAGCACTTGGAATCACATATTTTACCATTTCTCCATAAATCCGTTATGAAAAAGAAAAGAAGAATCATTTAGGTGTAGACTAGTCATAAATGGTTGACTGGAATAACTGAAAAGAAAAATACACCACCAAAAATAAATATTAATAATTTAATTAAAGATACTGTTGTTATGTGTGCCTCAGAAATGTTGTTCTTTGTGAGACTTTTTGCACTTATTATTGGTGATTAGATGACCTAGCTTTTATATATTTTACTTCTCAAAATAGTATATTTTACTAGACAAATACAACCTGAATATTCTATTTTATTGAATTCATTGGTAGCCGAATATAATAATTTATATTTAGTAATATCTAACAGTACTTTAAAACCTTAATATCATTTTATAGTACATTATAGTCAACTTAAAAATGAACCAATTATTTTGACTTTTAGTGCAAGATTTAAAGCAAAACACAATTTTAAAGACTTATGCTGAGTATATTACTTGTTGAATTAATTAAGGTCATACCTTATCCTATAAAATACAACTACAAATGACTAATCAATTTTGACTTGTAGAGGTTTGAAACCAGATTTAAAACTTGGCAGTTGTTCTGACATTAATTCTAGTTCAGTGTTCTCATTTGTTAATTTACCTTTAGAGTTGAAGTGAAATGTTTTATCTCTATTTTAGTTAAAGTATAAAGGATTATATTACTAAAACGGGGATGGTGGTGATCTTAAAAGTAAATTTATAAAATTAATTATTGAGTGAAATATTTGACATGATCATAGGGGTAAAAATAGAATTCCATATTTTATTACTAGGCCAATGTGTACTATTGGTTTTGATACCCATTTGTATGCGTTTGAAATATAAAATAACTCAAATTCTTGTTCGGAACTAACTGATTGTTAAATTTCTAATTAGATCGGCCGCACTCCAAGTATCGCTAGAGTTTTACCTAATGGTAAAATATATATCACACTAAAATATACTTTATACAATTGTATGTTAAAGGTTTATTTTATATCATCATTAAAAAAATAAAATGTACATTTAATAAATGAAAAAAAAATGAATAATTCAATATGCTTTGTAGGAAATGTATGTTTAATATTTGTACCTATTATATTTTTTATTATTTTATTAGACAACTATACACTTTATTAATAAAAATATATTATTTTTGATTTATTTTACAATCTTAAACTTTTGGTGAGTATTTTTTTAAATAATAAGTAAAGTTATGTTGACATTATACAAAATGTTTCACTTGAAAATTCTGATGTTTGAATTAAAAGTAACTGGTATCAAATTCACATAATTTTGAAATTAATTAGAGTTATTTCAATAATAATATACATCTAAAAAGCATTCAAAATAAATTTGGTGTTGAATTAACGTAATGTAGATGAATCTAATTACCTATCTATGTTTACTTAATTTTAATATAATAAAAGTAATTTTGAAATCGTTTCATATTTGTGGTTATAGGCAACTTGGTGTTTTGTGAAAACAATTAGATATTGAATTACGGAGCTGTGCCTAAGGGTGTGAGAGAAACGGTGCCTATTATTTTTTTGCTTATCAGTAAAATTGTCTGACCCTGGGTACCGACTTCACTAGACACGGCATTATTGAATAAACTCCAAAACAAATCAAGTTTCCTAAATTTAAAAGAAATTATTTTGATTATATGCTATATATGATATCAACACCAAGCAGGTGGTAAGTGAAAATCTATTTCTTCATCTCAGTTTTTTAAATTCTGAGTGAAGCGAAGAAGCTTGTGGTTTTACAAAGATGTAATTTTTTTTTTTTCTATGGACAACTTTTCTACCAAAGAACTTGCTCCGATTTTTACGTGTAGCAACTTTTCTGAAAGGAAATCGGTGTGGGGATATAACTTGGAAAAGTAATTTTTTGATTTTCTCAAAAGTTTTCTCATCAAATGCGAAAAATCGACCCTCTACTTACGACTATACAAAATACTTAAACCAAGAAATGGGTTATTTTTTCTGAAATTTATGTATATAACTCATTTTCGACTTTTTTGAACTTTTCTGTATTGCTTTATCACCGACGTTATGCTGGTTCCTGGTTACTTCAGCAGGCGCTATTTAGTGGCAGTATTAATAAAAATAATAATTGTGTTGTAATAAATTATAATAATGTTATTTCAATCGAATATTTTTAATTTTTATCAACTATTCTGATTGCGACTGTGTGAATATTTCGTGACTTATTCACTTTTTCTTCCCCAAACCGTTACTGTTTTTAATTTTATTTTTTTGTTTATATATGTATACAAAATACATTTATTAGAATTTCCATGTCGTAATCTATATCAACGCAATGTACAATTTATTACTAAGTAGGTATTCATTCCATCACTTGCTGTTTACAAGCCCGTATACAGAGGGGGGGGTCAGGGATTCAACTTCTTCCCACGAAATTTTTAAAGTAAGTAATTATATATTTATAACATAACAAAGACTAACTAATACAGTTCATGTATTAAAAATATTTCAACCCCCCCCTCCCGAAAATTGATCCTGAATACATTATTGGCTGTTTTGGTATTAATCTGTGTAAATAGTAATAAACACCAAATAATTTTGATTTATTTAACATGAATTTTGCGATAGTAGAGATAATAGGATTGATTTGATTAGGTATTTATAGCCATAGACGTACTATAAACTAATAAACTTTATTATATAAATGTAACAAAAAACTATGCTTAGATATGTCATGATCTAAGGGTCTATGTTAGTAGCAGGTAATCTTGGAAATATTGTTTAGGGAATATTCTCTAATTTATATAACAAGTTGCTTTAACAATACTTATAAGTTCCTTCGCTTGTGAAAGGAGTGACTATATAAAATGTTTTAAAAATGCAGTTATCACGTCTAGAAAAAGATAATACAAGTATTAGTACATACAAGTATGTATACTTCGCATGATGGGTGGACCACTGTTATAGATAAAAAATCGGAAAGGTAGTATAAAGAGAGAACTTTATTGTACCTACCTATTTTTATATCTGTACACAACAATTAATTATTCCTAACGGAAAACAATTCTGAACGGAGCTCGATTAATAATAGGTTTGTTTAGATTGCTATTGCTTTTTTAACAATAGTCATAGTGTAGTGATATAACAGTATTATAATTTTATACTTTTCAATAGTCATACATCAATAATATTAGATGTCAACTAATATAAGATGTCTGTCAATATTTTAAACCTTTACGAATATTTATAAATTAATAACAAAAAAAAAAAAAATTGAAAATTATAAAAGCATTATTTTCGTAAATGTTCCTGTTCTTTGTACGCTTTTCTTTAGTTTTACTTAATTATTAAAAAAAAAAAAAATCAAAAAACGACTTTCTTACTCAGCATTTATATTAAAAATGCAACAACAATAATCTCTTATCGTTTTATTAATGGACCAATATTTCTGGTAGAAAAATAAACCGTACAAATTTAAATACAAATACAAAATACAAATTTGTTAAAAAAATTCCAGGGCTGTTTGATCAGACCTCATAATGAAATCATAAGACTGTAAATGTGTCAGTTTTCATTTTCGGTCTTTTTTTGGTTTTTCCCAATTATTATGAAAACTGTTTAGAAAATCAAAAAAGGACTGTCCTTGTGACTAACTAAATCAAAAATTCAATGAAAAATGTCTTGTCATTTTTTGATTGAGCACGATTTTAGTAGAAAAAATGAGTTACAAAAGTGTAAAATCATTAAATCATTACTCTATAAATATATAAACATTTCCCTTCATTTTTTCTGGTTTTCAAAATTATTAAGACAACTGGTTGAAAAATCAAAAAATGGCATTTCTTAAAGTACTAACTAGATAAGATTTCCTTTCAGAAAACAAAATTTGTATTAAAAACAAATTATAATAAACATCATTGTAAAACCAATACACTCCTTGCTTTACTCAGATTGTAAAATGAATCACTAACATAATAGATTCGTATCTATCTGTAATATTATTAAAATTCAAAATTTAATTTATTATTTATGTACACATATATTTTATAGGATTTCAACGTTTGTTTTCCAATACTTTAACCTCTAGATGAGAAAGTGTCATTAAATTCGTTTACTTGAAATTTATTCACCTAGGTTTTGAATATGTATCAATATTATTTAATGACTGAATTTAAATTGTTAAAGGTAAAATTCAAATAAACAAATAATATCTCAAAAACCAGAATGAAAAGACTATAATACCGATAATTTTCCAATAATATATTGGTTTTACAATGATGTTTATGTTATTTTTATTTTTTATACTGTGTATATGTCTACCAGAAATCTTGATCCAATTTTCAAGTGTAGCAACTTTTCTCAAAGGAAATTTTATCTATAGGTAGTTGGAACTTAAGGGAAGTCATTTTTTTTATTTTCCGAGTGGTTTTCCTAATGATTGGAAAACTGGGAAAATATTTGTAGAAACTTTTGACAGAAAACATGATATAGGTATTTGTTTTTTATAGTCAAGGTAACATTTTAAAAACATTTGTGCCATTTTTGAGCTATTTAGTTATTTTTATAGTTTTAATGTAATTTTCATTCGGTGAACCAAACAGAAATGCCAAAGAGTTCTTACAAATTTTCCGACTTTAGTTAAACCTTTAAATCCGGGGAGTATTTCAGTATTTTATGTTCCTAAATAATTGGAATGAAATATATTTGATAACTATGTAATATAAAAAAACTTTATTTATATGTGCTGACTGATAAGTTGTTAAACATAGGTGAGAGGAGTGATTTATTTTGATTTCCTTCCACACCCTATAAAACATTATCAACTACACCACTGGATATGTACCTTAAAAACCGGCTTACTTTTTGGTGGTGGTAGGTAGGTAAATCTAACCTAAAACTTGAAAAATATTTCTAGATTCCCAACCTTTTTTCTATACAAGCAAGTACTATTTAAAAAACCAACATTCATACTATGGTTTTATTCATAGTAGATTATAACCTACTGTAGTTTTTTTGTCGAAGTTATCCAGTCTGCAAGTGAAAAACTTAGAATAAATTATACTATAAGTACTTCACTCAAAATCATTTACAATAAAAGAAATGATTTATCGTAACTTTTAGTAGGTATATTATAATATAAATTAAAAATGACTATATGTACCTTCAACACTTAGGTACCACATACTGCGGTGACCATGATGTTAAATATGTCCGCCTATTTATTTTTATATTTTTATTATTTCATTATACAATTAAAAATCTAAATAGAAACTTCTATATTTTTACAATCAAGTACGACTTATTTTCAAACATTTTTAGATGGTAAATTTTTTTTTTAATTGATAAAATGATTTTTTGGATAGGTTTAAACTTCGATTTTTCATTTGACTTCAAATAATGCTATAAAAGTTAGTAAAAAAATTTGACGTTTTTAAAGGCATATTATAAAGATTGAAATTGGACGATTAAATGGCATGAGTTTTTTTTATGTAAAGCATATTTTTGAGAAAAACTGGGTATACATGCGCACATTAATAACAAACGATTGGAAAACTTTATTTCATATTTGTAGCAATATTATAATCATATCTGATTGGTTCTCAAAAAACTAATTGATTAACTCGCCAGACACTGATTTACAATGAGTAATTATATTCTTTTGGATGCACTTTTAAGTATGTGTATTAACACTCTGGTATTGAAATACAGAATTTTATTTAAAATTTTTAAATATTCCATAAAGCATTGTAATCCAAACTGAAAGGAAATAAATGGGTAAATATTATATAATTATTTTAATAATACAATATAAATATTTAACACTAATTATCATTTATATTTCTTAAATAAATCAGCAATTTATTTCCTACATATTACAATTTAAACTACTATAACACTATAACTTATAACTATAATATTTCTTTATGAAGGGGGGCAGGCGACTTCAAAAAGTATTTAATTTTTAAAATACATCAATTATAAGGATAATCAAAAGCAAATTAATAAATAAATGAATGAATACACCTTATTTTATTTTTATATATACTATTTTTTATTTTTATATTTATTTAACAGTAATAGCCATATTAATAATTTTTTTTTTACTTTATTATTTTATCATTTATTACTTATGTTTGTACATTGTATATTTCTATACATTTTAAATGTTGAACAAAAAGAGAAATAGAAAAAAAAACAAATAAACTGGAAAAACAATTTATAAATGAAAAACTACTACACACATATAGTATTACAATAATAAAAATGTTATCAATAATCCATATTAGGTTCTTATTTTGTAAGAAAAAGAAGTATAAATCCAAATAAATATAAATATTACATGCTAAATAATCCAAATAGATTTTTTATTAGTTATATTTAATAATAATAGGATTTAATACAACCTAATCTAACAATTGCTATTCATATGTTTTTAACCCTAATAACTTTTTTCATAAGTAATATTATGATAAATTAAAAAATAAAATTACTATTTTTTATGACTAGAACAAGTAAAAATATTCTGTTTGTTATAAATGTTAAGTGATAAATGAGTGATAAATAAGTTAAAAATGTGATGGTGCATTCAAATATTTAGTTGTTCTTATTACTCTAAAAAAAGTTTCATGTATATTAGAGCAACGTTGGCAGCTGCTTCTTGAGCCTCAATTAGTGTTGATCCAGTACCCAAATGTATTATAAGAGGAGTAATAGATACCTGCACCAAAATTTCTGCTTGACCTAAAACAAATATATATATATAAATTAAAATAATTATGTTCAACTTGAAAAAACTCATACTGAAAGCTGGCTTAGAAAGTAAAACATAAGATGTAGTAAATCCTTCTTCTTCTCCTATTTGGTCTAAAATTTCAACAGCACTTCCAGGGTATTTTGTGAAGTTTAAATCCTGAAAAAAAAAGTTATAATAATAATAAAAACCACTAGTCTATAATAAGTTATTATATACTAGTTATAATAATAATAACTAATTATTATTTTTCTGGAATACTTATTAAATGATAAATGAAAAATAAATCAGTTCATTTTAGATTTCTAAACACAAGTTTAGAATTATATCATCACTGTGACTGTCTGTACGTAGATATCATTACATGGTTAGTTTGATTGATACAGATATACATATATATATATATATATGCTATTATTTATTTAAATACTAGTAATAAATAATGGGCATATTTATACTAGCCAATATTATTTAAAAATATATATAGTACTTTAAAATATATGGTCATGAATGTGAACATTATTATAAACTCCTCTACAAATCATTAATTCAAATAAAATACTGGCATACACAATTAATAATAATGATCATTTAAATGTTTAAAATAGATAGTGCTAAATCCAAATGCTGCAAATCTTTACAACAAAAACTTGATTACATACACACTTTAGTGAAATAAAATTTATTTATTTATTAACATTGAAACAATCATTATTATATACAAAAACTGCAAACTGACTTATATTTCAGTCCATATATAGATAGACTGAAATATTAATGATGTTAAACTATTAAAAATTAACTGACAATAATTTATTCATTTATTGATTAAAGTTGACTGTGATAACCAATATTTTGATCCAAAGGAAAAGTTCTATATCAATTTTAAACATTTTTTTTAATTTTTTCCTTGAGTACATTTTTGTTTTTATAAAATTAACTTGAGCTTTTATTCCTTGAAACAAAAGAATATACTCTAATATGGCAGTTCCTTGTTTGTATGGCAATCTTTTAAATTTAAAGACAAGTACAGCCTTTGAAAATATTTTCCTCTTATGTTTTGTTATTTTTATTTAAATTAAAATTGTTTACCTTGCAAAATGAACATTTAGTATATATATACAAAAAAAAAGTGTTATAGACAAATCTGGCATTTTATATAATATAAGATGTTTAAATTAAATGTTGAGATTAAATACAATATATTACCTTCAGTTTGTTCAGTGATGGATTTTTTGACATTTTTAAGTTGTTAAGGAATTTCTCTACGTTTTTCATATTTTCAGATGTATTTAACAAGTCCGAATTATTATTTTTGTTTGCAGATATATTCATTTGAAACATAATTGAACTTGGCGTTGGGTATATATTGAGAGAAAGACAGTTGATTTCATTTTCAGAAAACTCCTTGATTTTGTCATACATGAGACGAGCTGCTTCTCTTTTAGCTAACTGCTTAGATTTTTGGACACCTAATAACAAATATTTATTTATTGATATCATTCAATATTATAAATTTGTATAAATAGATATTTATATTTATTTACGTACTACTGGTTTTGTACATATAAAGCAAACAATTAGCTTCAAATCCTGTATTTCCTTGTGTGGTATATTCATAACTGGGTAGCTTCCAATGATAAATCATGCAGACTTCCTGCAGTTGACCAATAGGGTTTATTTCTGATTTTTTATTCTCTAATACTGGATCTGTTGGCTTTTTCCTGATAAAAAAAATTCTATTCATAGATGACAGGTATTTTTTTTTTATAATTTTATAGTTTGTTTTACTTATAGGGGTTATTCATATTGTTTGAAGCAATTGATGTAATGTCATTTCTAACATTATTAAAATTCATTCTCTCTATAAAAGCAATTGCAGCTATTTTTTTGGCTTCTTTTTTTGATGGACCAGTACCAAAAACTATTTAAAGTTCACAACATTTTTAATATACACATTAATAAGATATAATAATAAATAATCACATACCAGACAAGTCTTCATTTTGAGCACGAACAGTGTAAATTGGAGAGTGCAATAAACCTTTTATGTCTATAGTCTCATAAGTGACTACTTTTTTTTTTAATATTAACATAATTTCATTAAGTTTGGTGATTGGATCCTTTTCGGTGTTCAATTTTATACTCTAAAACATTAATTAAATATTAATTAAACATTAATTCAGGGCTGTTCTTATAAAGTCCATTAAAGTGTTTGTTAACATTAGCCACCAATAAACCAATATAATTTTGGACAGAAATATAACTGTAGGTTAGCTCTAACACACTTTATAGTATATTGTAAAAATAGCCTTAAATATTATAATTGTCATAAAATATCTAATAAACATACCAGTATACGACCCCTATGGGTACATAGGAACTAGGAAGTTGGACATGGGATAATTTAATTTATAAACTGAAAACTGTGATCAGTTATTGCATAATTATTGCATCTACTATCTCAGTCCAACTACTTGGTAACATACAAAAACAATGCTTACTAAGAATAAGTAAAACTATTAACTGGCTTAATTTCGATTTTAGGGTAAAAGTACCTGTTATGAAATTTATAGAAAACAATATTTTGGAGGGAATATCATAGGTGTTTTTTGAATTATGAACTAATAAAAAGTTACAGTTATTTAAAAAAGAAAAAAAAAGGTTTTGTATCTTTTATATCAGTATGATGTATCATTGATTATAGTGACTGAGTCCATTTTTTTAAATAACTGGTTGCAGAGGAATATATACATAAGCAATGTTTAATAAAATTATCACAGGCAATTTCTTTCAAATGTTTTATAAGTTCTTTTACTACCATGGGTACACATTTTTCAGTTATTCTACATTTTAGATTAGTCAAAATATTATCTATTATATTTATTATTTCACAGATTGAATTACCTTCATTTTCTATTTTTCTAAATTTTTATGAAAAGTACTCATTGAAAAATGTACAAAAAATAAAAATGGTTCACTAGTCATTATCAAAAATATTTAATAATGCTTTAGGTATTTGGTCTTATAATACAAAATATGATTTTAATGCATACGATTGTCTTGTGATAGAGTAATTCTAGAGTAATATGTAATATTTGTAAGCTCACAAGTCTTTCAGTGATTCTGTTCTAACAGTATAATTAGAAAAATAGTTGTAAATTTAAAGAATTATTGATTCAATATCAAACATATCACATTGATTCACACCATGGTGTATGGCATTGTGCAAAATATGAACAGGACATGCAATACCAAGCAAATTTTTAATAACACTAGATATAAGCTTTGAAAATATGATATAAGATAAATTGGATATACATGTATAAATATTGTATACTATATGTTATAGCTAATACAAAATTTGGTACTTTCTTTTTCCAATTAAATATTCTTCACATAATGTTCGTTCAAATATTATCTATATGTGACATGAAACGCAAATGATTACATAATGTTAGTAAATCATCAACTCGAACTACCCTTGAAAAAGTTTTTATTTATCAAAAAGATTACAACATAATCTTAATTAAATTTATCAAAAAACTAATATATAAAAAATACAATATTTTTAATTTTTAATTAACCTAAAGAACAAACATTTTTTATTTTATTATACATTTATTTGCTTGCGGTGTATTTCTGTAATCTGGAGTAAATATTGTTTTTGTTCTTCTTGTTTAGTCAAAACAGGGTTGAAATCTCGAATCAGTTTGATGTCCTGTTCTGCCATTCAACTTTCAACTTTTCCACAAGCAGTAATCAAAGTGTTTCAAAGTAGTTATTAAAGTGCAATGCATAATTCAAAAATTGCCAATTTTATTATGCTTGTACGAATCAATATCATTGTATTTATTAAATGTCAGTTGAATACTAACCATGCACATTATGACTATAAAGAACTACTGAATTTATCATTGGCATTCTTAGTAGAAACTGAAGAAATAATAAAAATACGCATTCCAGGAGTCTACTATCCCGCCCATTGGATGGTAAAACTTATATATTGTTTGAAAATATACATTTTTTTTGATCAACTCTAATTGAAAGCAGCTGAGCTCGATGGTCTCCGCGAATTTAATGTTTTAATTATCCGAATCTACATTCAAAAATGGTATACTTGTCAAAATCGGATTCTGGCACTATTGAATGATCTCATCAAATATTAATCCATCAATCATACAATTTCTGAGGAGAACTACAACAAATTATAAGGCCACTTATGATACTAAAGTAAAATGTTGTTAGGTTTAGCCATATTCGATCCACGCATATCAGTCAAAGAAAATAGAAGAACCGTGATCGCTCTGGAAAACGATGGCAGCGATAACCCTCCTTGTAGCATTCACACTGATAAAAAACAAATTTTAACACAAAAATAGTACAGATTTTTTCATTGGTAGTGCTCGTGGAAAAGCTGAAAATTGTATGGCTGTGAATGATTTTGTAAAAACTTTGGTAAAAATGTGAAAAAAATTTGGCATCAAACTGATTCAAGATTTCAACCCTGTTCTGACTTAACAAGAAGAAACAATATTTACTCCAGATTACATAAATGCGCTGCAGGGAAATACTGCAAGCAAATAAATGTATAATAAAACAAAGACTATTTGATTTTTAGGTTAATGAAAAATAATAAAAATAAATAATACTGTATTCTTTTTTTATTGTTTATTTTTACTTCATTTTTTTGTAATTTATAAATTATTAGTTTTTAATAAATTTAATTAAAATCATATTATAATTTATTAAACAAATAAAAAAATTGTTCAAGGGTAGTTCTAACTGATGATTTACCAACATTATGTAATTATTTGCGTTTAATGGCTAATAACTTTGTCAATATTGATTTTTTCTCATCAACTAATAAGACCATATTTGTTCCTTATTAAATTCTGATCATTTGGCTTCATGCCATTTTTAGTTAGCTATAATTTAAAGATAAAATGCATACAAATTGCGTTATTTACCTATAATTGCTGCTCGCGAAATGAGAATTTTTTTTTCACAAAATTATATGCTATGGTATTGTCATACCTGTACAAATTAAATATAAACAAACGTCCGCGAAAAAACAATTTTTATTTTTTGATCCACCCTTGTACTTATATTATTTTAAACTATCGTATCTATCGTATCAACTAGTATACTCACGTTGAGCTTGGCAGCTATGATTTCAATTTCTGCATTATTCCTTCCGGGTGGGTTGAAAAATTTTAATTTGCAACCCCGAGGGGCGGTACCCTCGTACACGCTACAAAATTTCCCCTTCATCATGTCCTGCTGTTGCTGCAGCGGCTGTTCGGTGTTATTTTCGGGGGCGGAGGTTGACGAAGACTGGATTTGTTCTTCTTCGAACGTACTCATATCGTTGTTCATATTAATACGGAGGATGTCGGTCTGTTGTGTGTCCCACCAATTGGCACTGTATCGATTTGTGAACACCGGTTAAGACTGGTGGTGGCGAGGAAAAAAAGAAGACGAAAACGGCAATACCTATCTGTAAAAATTAACAGTGAAATCTAGTGGCGTCGTGAATTCCGGTAGGTATTATCGTTTAATATATACTGTTTTAAATAATAAAATAGTTATCATAAAAACGTATATATACAATTCAGAAGCGTTTATGCAAGTTGAGAGAAGCAACGCATTGAGTTTATACACAGAAACGGGAAACGTATACGACTACAGCACTACGAGCAGCAGCTGCATAAAAATGTATCACAATGATAGAATTCGCCTTGACACCAGGTGTACTAACCTAACCGTACGCTTACTGTATACATGTCACATAACCAACGGTTTTACAGTGAATAATTGTATATAATTTGTATTAATTATAATTTGCAATTTGTATTTTGTGCTAATAAGTGGGTACTCGTAATATTATATTAGGGCATTGGGCAATTAAGTTTACTTGGTACTTGAATATTCAGAATATAGGTACCGGCTTATTTTTATTGTTTTTATTGTGTGCACGGTAATTTACAGTCACTCAGTCAACAAAAAGCGTCTTCAATCCTTCCACACCCTGTCTCTGATGTGAAGAGAGCTGAGGAAGGGTGTTGTAAACGAACAATATTGATTAATCCAGCGCCACAGTCGCTAAGGAGAACAAATGAACTCGTTCGTCGAATATTACACGAGCCGCCGATTCTTATTTAACCTATGTAATTTTACGGAAAATGGTCCGACCTCTTTGTAGCCTAAACTAGTGTACTGATTGTTTTCAAATTTACATTGGTTGATCAGTATATTGTATATATAATACTTTTGTGAATTTCAAATTGATCGGATGATTACAGCCTGAGTAATATGCAAAAGTACTAGCATAGTTTTTAGTCAAAATGCTATTTATTATTTTCAACAATTCAACAACGTATATGTTGTACGCGACGCCGCGCCATTTATGCTACCCTTCCCGTTCCACACAACCCCACTATCCTTTGTTGCGCGTCGGTTGCAAACGTTATTTAAACAGAGCGCAGTGGTGCACCCAGGGAGAAGTGAAATTTAAGGCTGAATCCACCCCCAAAATTTGTTTATATTAAATAACATTATTATTATTATTGTTACTATAATAAAATATGTTTTTTTTTTTTTTTTTTCATTTAATTATCATGTTTGATACACATTAATAGACCAATAGTATGAGATAACGTTTGTGGCAATTGCCTATCGATTATTTTCGTTGAAAATAATTTTTAGATTTGTACTAGCGATTACGTCGGATCATCGGATCAATCCTAGATCGATAACTACAATAACAATAATAATTTTGACCGTCGACTGTGTAACATTATACTGGTTAGGTGCCTCGTTTGTCGTTAAAAACATTTTTACCCCCCCCCCCGACAAAAATCCTGGGTGCACGCCTGACAGAGCATGGTAGTTGGGTCAACGTCGATTCGTAGCGTACATATAGAAATTCGTTGATACATTTTGTACCGGTTTTCTAGTACTTGATACCGATTATTTAACACCGGTATAGGTATTCGACGATGGTAATCAGTCCGTAATCCAAAATTAACAATGATAATACTATCAATTAAATATTAATCAATTATTTAAACTATCGGTGTATTCTTCTCATCTCCCACTAACAACTTAATAAAAATTAATTTCAATAGGTATTAATTGTTGACAATAAAATTATTATTCTTATCATTTATCTGTTTGTTTATTATTTCGAGGGAGGAACGAGATGGAATGATACCGGTGTAAAAAGTTTGCACCGTATGCATGTCATGGGACAGAAAAATTAAACCGCTATCGTCAATTTTAACGCCGGCTATTCCAAAAAATTTCTCAAATTTACACCGGTTTATACCGACGAATTTCTTGCATGAGTCTACATTAAACATGCATTATCAGATTATCGGAGTTCTATTTTGTTGTCCGTGGCGACGCTGTGCCGCTTGCAATTTTCGACTGCCTACGTGTTTGCGATGGATAAAAACAATTTTCTTTATTTATTTTATCGTTGTATTACTGTGGTGTCATTTTCCAGCAACATTCATAATAAGCTATTTTCATAGTTATACATCATGTATTCATTTACCCAATCCGTGAAACAACAAAGATATTGTCCCCATAATTTTTCACTGAAAAAAACGAAACAGGTTAACTGCATACAAAATTTTAATAAAAAATAAGTGATATCCTCACAAAACCCTCCGTGAACTACATGTAAAAACTTCGCAAAAAAATTCAAGTTAGAAAAATTGTGATACCACAAAGGGGCTTAGTAATTTCTTAAATTCATTAACACAGAAATTGTTCAGAATTGTTTGTATTGAGTGAAGTGCGATAACTTAATATAAATAATTTAACATAGCTTGGCGGCTACTTATTGTATACACTTAAATAGTATTATGGTAATATTAATAAATTAGAAAATGGTGATGTAAATATTCATGTCGACATTGTATCTCTATTTGTATTCGTAAATATTTGTAGCCGCCAAGATACGTTAAATTATTTGTATTAAATTATCGCGCGCTTCATCGAATACAAACAACTATAAACAATTTCTATACCTACTCATGAATTTAAAAAATTATTTGGCCCCTTTTTGATATCACAACTTTTCTAACATGAGTTTTTGTTTCTTAGCAAGGTTTTACACGTAGTTGACGGAGGGTTTTTATTGGGATAAAGATATACGACAATGCTATTATTAATAATAATATAATTGTTATTATTATTATTATTATTATTGTCGTGCGTCAGTGACCAGTGTCGATGACCGGCGGCGGCGGGACGGGATGAAAAGGAAAACAAAACTCGTCATTTCGCGCTTCGTGTGAACGCAGCTGACACATTGGTGACCGTCGCCTTGCGAAACCTTCGGACACAAAGCGCGCACGGCACCGCGTCACAGCGTTATCGGTTTCAACGCGGAAATCAACAAGATAAAAAATTTAAAAAAACATCGTCCGTACCCACTATCACACACACGACAAATCAGATTACCAGATTCGTGGCGCGATTCGATAATGCTATTCCCTGTAGTTTCTGCATATAATTTTATACTGTATTATTCATTTACTTTAGCGTAAGTAATAATCATTTTCATTATTATAGTAACGTGACGATAATCTTTTAAATTATTTACGTGAAAAATATCGCCGTCGTCCATTCCATTAGCTATGTCGGCCGGTTGTTTATTTTTCGTCATAAAATAATCGATTCCGTTTTTTATATACCGCCACTGCCACTGCCACTATTAGGTGCTTTAGGTACTTACTAATAAAATAAAAACAAAGTCCGACCGACTTTATTTCGCCCGACAACCGAAGGTATGTGATAGTTTATTATTTATTATTATGGTGGCCATTTCCTGTCTATCGCTATTGTGTCATTGAACCGTTACCGTCTTCCTGTACATCAAACTACCTACCTATATCTATTTATTTTGTTTTGTATATATTTAAATTTTTTAGAGATGGGTTCGTATTCACGGCAATAACGATACTAAAACGTTTGACTATAATTAATTGCTATTCTCTCTTGAAGAACATTCATTGACTTTTTCACATTACACAATCATCACATTCTCAGATAAACCACAGATCAAAATGTATGTTTTAGCATTTACCTTGGACATTATTCATATTATCCACTAGTCAGCTCCACTTATTCATTTTCTTAGCTTATGTTTTTCTACCAAGTGTATTAAATTTTAGTAATTTATAAATAATTAAATTTTAATAATAATAATCATTTATGTTATAAATTTAGATGAAATAGGTAGTAAATTTTGTGTAAACAGTAGTAAACTCTATAATTACTTTAAATAGGTACCTACTACTTTTTCTACAACTATTAAACAGGTATGAAATTACTAATTGATATTCAGTTATTATTTTATATAGATCTGAGAATACTTATAATATTTAATTTAAATGAAATTATCTTTAGTTCAAAAGCTGAAGTACCTATAACAAATAAAATTAATTTTAATTAAACAATATTTTGTTATTTATCTAGTTGAAATTGGCTTATTAATTAATAATGACATATTATAAAAACTTACATCATTAAAAGTATCAGAATCATTTTACATAAGTATCTATAATAACTTGAAAATTCTCAGTATTGTGTTTGTATTGTTTGTATAGTATTTGGAACTAATTTAATTTTTTGTTATTTTTAGATGATCTCACAAAACCAAGTTCTGAAGGAAACACACACGGGACTATATTTCAACAATCTACTACATTGACAGCAAAAATGTGGCCTCCAGTACGTTAAATTATTTTATAAATTTTATTTTAACAATTTTAAAATTACTCATCATTGATCTGAAATTGATGGTAAAGAATCAGTGAGGACCACATATACTAATTCTTATGTAATATTCATTATTATCTTTTGACCATTAATTTCTGATAAATTTATATAAATTATTACTTTTAAATTTTAATTGCAATTATGTTTATAAGGGTATCCATTATTTTTGAAGTTGAATATTTTGAAGAATACAATTTGTTTCAATACATCTAAAATTTGATCTCGATTGATGATCCTCCTAAACAGGGTGGGCTTCAACCTCAAAAGTTTTATGAAAAAGTGAAAAATTTTGGTTTTTAGGTTCTTTAAAATTTGAATGGTATGAGAAGTTTGATTGGATCATCATTATTGTAGAACTGAATAACTCCTAAACAAATTGCTTCTTTATCATTTTTCTTAAGTTCATACGTACATATCTAATCAAGAATTTTCCATTGCTCATAATTTATGAAAATTGCTTAGTTCTTTAAATTACCCACTAAAAATATACAGAAATTATACTATCAGATTATTCATAATTATAATGTAATTTATGTTTCTAAAAATAAAAGTTATTAATAGGTATAGATTATTTTTATACATTTAACCATTTCTCTTAAAGTTGAGAAAAACAAAATTTAAGTTTTCAATTACCTTAATGGTACCCCCTTTCAGCTGAAGTTTTCACAACTTTTTACTGTCTAATGACTAGCTTTTTTGATAATCATTAATGGGTAATTACTGATGGATTCAGATATTAAATTAGTTATCTAATTTAACGAAATGTCCTATCAAATTTTATAATGATATATTTTTTTTCTTCCAAAATGTTAAATAGAAACTTTTTTTATGGCTTTTTATAGTCATTCGTTTCATTTATTGTTGAACATTTTTATCTTGTGGATAGTAGTGAAAATACTATGCACTTGACAGTTAATTAATATAAAAAGTTAACAATAATTTTCTAATTGTCACCTCAGAAATAATTTCATCAAATTATAGATTCCTGATCGTAGTGAGAGAGCTGTTGGTTTTACAATGCTGTTTATTACTTCTTCTTTGTTCTTGTCTATGAACACGTTTTTTTCTAGTAAACATGCTCCGATGTATAAGTGGAGCAACTTTTCTGAAAACTCAAATTATTTAGATTGTACTTTAAGAAGTTATTTTTTGATTTTTGACGCCATTTTTTAAATAAAAGCACATAAGTGAAAAAAAACGTGGGAAAACATACAATTTCACGATTTCATTATTTTATAAAAACACGGACAACGTTTTTTACCAGAAAAAATGATCTAATCAAAAAATCACAGGACGCTCTTTTTGTTGCTTTTTTAATTTTCTTTCTTATGGTATCATCGCCAAAACATTTGAGCTTTTAAGGAATTTTAACTTTTGGGATTTTTTTGCTATAATTTAGTTATAAATACACGTAGAGTCTTGAAACTTGGTAATAATACTTATATTGAACTTACCTAGATGTGGTCAAATTTCCCAAATTATCGGACAACTTTTTTTTTTTTTAATAAGTGTTTTGAAATCAAATTTAAATGAAAATCGCAAAAAAATAAAAATATAGCACTTCAAATTATTATTAACACACTGCATTTGGCATCATCTTAAACCAAGCAATAGTTTATTGTTGCTTATGAATATAAATGAAATAACCTTATTTTAGTTGGGAAGGTAGGATATCTTCCCAACTTCCCACCTATAACAGTGGCTGCACCCATGTGTGAAGTATGTCTGTCTTTTTTATACTAATTTAACTCGACCAAAAACAAATGAGAATATCTATTAATTGTTTACAACTCCACAATTGCAATTGCTCTTTGTGCATAAATCCAATATTTAATGTAGGTAGCATTTTAAAATAAATAAATTTATGTAAAACAGGAATTCTAGTGTTTATTATATAATTATGTAAAAAATATGCATTCAACTTTAATTAATATTGTAGGTATTATAAAATAATAAAATTTAATTTATTTTTAATTTGGCTATAAATTAAATAATTAATTGAATTGCCTTTGTTTTTAAAAACTGCAGTATTGAAAACTAGGTAATTAATAAAATTAAAAACAAAGTTTTATCTTTTAGAATACATATTATTTACAGTTTAATTAGTGAAAATAATTTAATGATTTTAATTTTATCTAACATGGTACAAAATAAAAAAAATAAACATTTTTATGGCAGTAAATAAGTTTAAAAACTTTAATTTATTATATTAATAATATTTTATTTTTACAGGATATTTCAGGAGATTTTGGCTTAAATATTCTTGGGTGGCAACTGGAAAAAGATCAACTTTCAATTTTCATAACATGTGTTGTTGCTATTATAATTTTAATTTCAATAATCATTGTGTTCATAATCTGGTATTGTTGTTTTTGTAGAAAACAAACAGGTAAAATTATTAATACACTATGAAAATGTTTTTTATAATATTCTTAATTGTTTTGTATTTATTTAGTACAAAAAGGGGATGAAGAAGAACAAAGAAGTAATACTCACATGCCTGGGTAATTTTGATTATGACAATTTTTTTTCAATAATTTAATATGTAGTTACTTTTTTAAATTTAATGAACCTTAAATCTTCAAGTTAGATAGATCAGTGATTCCCAATGTTGGCGACATTGCCCCCTTATTGACTTTTTAATTTTGAAGGGAGTGATTCTAGTGTGACTTTAATTATAAAAATAATTTGCTATTATTAAATATTAATAGCAAATTCATAACTTATCAATGAAATTTATATCTGCATACAATAAAAAATAATTTGATATTTTGTTATATGGATGCTGATAAGCTTTCTTTTAGTCCCATTTTCATATGGATATTTCTGATAATTATTGTATATTTGCATTTATTACATGAAATTATAATTTAGTGTGTATGTATGTTATTTATACCTATTATCATAATAAAATTTCTGAAAATAAAATATGAAAAAATATTTATTTTTCACTTTAATTAAATGATTGATTATACAAATTAAACCAATTTTTTTTTAATTTATTGAGTGGGGGTGGTGTGAGTTTTTGAAAATCTAAAAGGGGCTTTGAGTAAAAATGATTGGAAAACACTGAGATAGATTATATAGACTGGTGATTTAATATGATCTAGATTTAGTGGTCTCTAGCACACACTATATGAATATATTGAGTTTTTTACTAATTATTGAAATTATATAAAACCAAAATATGACAATATTTTTATTTTTTTTTAATTATGACCTATAAGTTGAAATTAATGTATACATAATGACATAAAATAATTCTCTATATTTCTTTTACAGATACTCTACAGTATATTTAGACCCAAAAACTGGAAGTTTTGTATACAGTAACCGTATTGTTGAATTATTTCCTGAAAGAGAAGGTTCTCCTGACCATTGGTTTTTTAATGATCGAGGAGAAGAAATAATGAGTACTAACACAGTACCACGCTCTGCTTCTGTACCACCAGCAAAGCAACTCCAGTCATTTGTAAGTTTTTGTAAGATTTATTATGAATAATTTAAATTAATAATAGTTAATGTTACAGGATCCTTGCATCCGTGAGATAAAAGAATTTATAAGCAATGAAACATTTGACGTTCCGAATTTAAATTATATTGACAATGAAACCCAAAATGACCCTTGCCATTTGCCAAATGCTCTACCCCAGATCTCTGAATTCAACCCTCATCAATTTACTTCCAGCAGCAGTGAGTATACAGTTATCTATTTAGGATTTAAGATGGGCTATAATTAAGTATAATTGGCTTTAGTTGCCTATTGTATAATACTTTTTCACTCATAGGAAACAAAAAAGTAAATTGATAATATTGGAATAAAAGTGAAATTTTAGTATATTTTGTGTGTAGCAATAGGACAAATAACTACTAGCTCCAAAAACTTCATCAGTGACGCTGAGATTCATTCCAAATTATGTTACAAAATTATTTGGTTTTTTTATATAAATACCCACCTACCATTAAATTTTGTTTTAAAGATCTTAAGTTTGTAAAGTTAAATCATTTTTAAATATAATGTATTTATGTTTAACTTTACCTTGAATCCAACAAAATTATATTTATAGATACCACTAGAGTGCCCTAACACTGCACTCTAGATATCACCCAGCCACCAAAACATGTGTTCCATCTACAACATAATGTGCATAAAGTTTGTTGCCACTGCATTTCATCATTAAATGAAAAAGCTTATCTTTCCAACTGGACACCAATAATTGTAGTATTTTTGGTTATTACAATTTATAACTAAATACAATTAAAAATGTATTATTTAAATTGCTTTCAATATTTTATTTTATCTGGTTGTATGATGCATATTAATATTTGATACTGGTTTGTTCCATCAAATATTTTTACAGGCTCATAAATTAATATTATATATATGTAATAGGTGATTCATTATCCAATACTATTTTTAGTTGAGATTGAATTTTTATCTTTTGTAAAAAGTATTTTTACAAAAGTATTTTTTAGTATTTTTTTTTCAACATATTCAAAATAATTACAAGCAAGGCATTTTGTAACATTTTTGAAAAATACTTTCAATGATACTTGTCCTAATATGTTATATTGTGTTATTGTTGATATCCCACTAACTGTTTCTTCAATCTGACACTTAAAAGAATAATTTTTTAATACAACTTTAATAACCTTCACATTTGTCCCATCCAATTCTTAAAAATGTATAGTTAATATTTATTAATTGCATATAATGATTTAAATGAGTTATAATAATTTGTTTCAGTCTTAGACAATTGTCATAAGTGGGACGGAAAATCTGTTACACTGCGAACAAGAAGTCTTCCAACACATGTACGAAATAAAAAACGTCCATTTTCAACATCTGACAATCTGTCAGAACTTTATGCTAAGGTATTATAAATTGTTTATTTTGTGTAGTTTATTGGACTATACCTATGATATGTTTATTAAATAATTATTTATTTTCAGGTAAATTTTAGTAAAAAAAGAAAAAACCGTATGAGAAATGATGAAGCTGCCATAATTGCCATGAGCAAATCTAGAAGTCAATTCCTCAACAACAAGGACACAGATATATTGGTTGATAATGAGGCTGTTATTGTATATGATGAACGGACTGCTTTATAAAACAATATGTGATATACCTGTAGGTTAATTATTGTTTAGAATGTCTCATGTATTACATTTATTGGAAAAGTTTTTATCCAATGAACAGGGTTATTGAAATATATATAATTACTGTATGTATACAGTTTCAGCACTGTCAGTGCTAGACAAATTATGAACCATGTCCATAAACAAATCTAAATTCTATTTCATCTTTTGAATAATAAAGTTTTAAATCAATATTTTATTGAATTTTAATAATAATTTTTTTTTTGTAATCTTTAATATTATTGTTTTATATATCCCTTTATTACAATTATAATATGTTTCTCAGATTATTAGTAAAGAAAAAATATTTAAATAATAAAATACTATGTTATCATTAAAAATATTTGTTGTTAATTGTATTTTACATGATTATTTAGAAATTTCTCGTAAACATTTTCAATAGTGGTCAATTTTTATACACATTTAAATTATAGATGTAAAAACATTTCCATTTCAAGCAATTTAAGTTATTAACCTCAATATTTTTCCTGTGATTTATTGTAGAACATTATATATGTGAATTAAATTAAATGTAGCGGTTAAATAAATATAAGCTTAGATACAATCAATTTTTTATGTATATTGTGTAAATCTAAAAAACTGCTGGTATTGAACTAAGAAAGATCTTGTGAATCATTACTACTGAAATCTGATAGTCTGATGAGACTTGATCTTACTATTTGTTATAAATTTATTTTATTAGGGCTGTGATTTTGTAGGAATACACCTTATATCCCATTATGTCTGTTGGTCTGTATAGTTATTAGTACATCATTATGGTTGTTGACTTAGTTGACAAAGAAATGTATATTATTCAAACATAATTGATAGTATTATTAATTTAAACATGCGTACCTATTAATTAGAAATTCATACAAACCATTTATTTTAAAAATGTCCTATCAATTATTTAAAAACTAAGATATTTAATTTATTTGTCTAGTATTTCTGTATAAACATACTAGGTTACCCACCAAATTTTTTCCAAATCATATAATATGGAACTAAAGTGTATAGTTAAAAAATTTAAAAATATGTTTAGAAACTGGGGATTTTGCAAGCCCACGGTGTGTATTTTCTAAACTTGATTAATTTATTAATATATATTTGTGAGTAATTTTTAATTCAATTTGCCTTAAAATTAGTATACAACTAGGTACTAATTTTACATCCTTCATATTTTAGTGGTTTGCATAGGTTTCATTTTAAACAAAAATGTATGGGTATAAATTATTTTTTTATTGATATAATAGGTATTACTATACAAATAAATAAAAGATATTAAAAAAGGTCAAGAGAAGGAGATATATCCCAGTAAATATATGCCATTAATAATAATGTAGATATTTCAATATCATCTTGAGATAATTTAAAAATCTAAAGAATGAAAGCTACAGAAATATTGTATTTCTGTCAGTAGTAGTCAATTTAATATAAGTATTTATAAACTTACAGAATGACATAGATTTATTAATAAAATAATAAAGTAAAAACAAAATTATTAAAATGATTAATACTAGTAAATAAATATATAAATAAATGAATGAATGGTCCCCTAGATTTATTGTACCGATGAATAATGTTAAAATAGAATAATATTACTTCACCCTGCAATTTGAAGGAATTCTTTTACAGTTTACACTTACTGAATAAGTACTCAGTAGTACACTAGTACCTACCAAATAGGTACCTATACAATTAATGAATCCCAGAACCCTCCCCCAGAAAATAAAATCTGTATAAATAAATCCCCAAAGTAACTATACTGTCAAAATTATATATATAAAAAAAAATTGAATATAGTTAAATCAACAATGATTTGAGTGTGTATATTGTACACATAGCTGTCAAAAAAAATAATAATAAATAATTTAAAAAAATATATAATACTATATGTAGGTATAACCATTACAACATATTTTAATTTTCTTTATTTGGATTTAATTATATTCATAGTTGCAGTCATACAATTCAAAATTACCTAACAGGAACTGAAGAAGTACCTAATAACTAATAACATGTAGATACCAAATATGAATGTCTAAATAATTTTTATCTAATGTATGTTTTTAATTCCACAATTTATTGCTTTAGACAGTTGATTTTAGATATCTGGCAACTAAAATTAGTTAAGTGAGCTTCCCTTGTGAGAGTAGATACCACAGTTATTATCAACAAATTATTTTTTTGGAATATTTGCTGTTTTGTTTGTAATCTATAGGCTAAAAAAACATACGGATAACAATTATTAGACAATAATTTATACATATATGTATAAATAAAATTGAAGTAGGTAAGTATGTCTGTAAACTTTTTTAAATATTATTATTATTATTAGTATAGTTGTTTTGAGGATTTTTTTTTTGGATTACCACAATTAATACATAGAGTAATATACTATGAATTAATACCCTAGTGACCATAGACCTGATTATCAGTTCTATGCTAGTGACCTATTAAAAATATAATATGATATCAAAAAGTTATTAGTATTATTTTATAACTCTCCTCTAAGTCATAGAATTTTCCAGTTTTAATGTATACTATGATAATTATTGGTTGAGGTAGGTAGCTCTTTTATCAACGAAATGGCCAAGAATAACTAAGCTAATAATGAATAGTGCCAATCCATTTTATCAATTTATTAAAAATCCAGATTATTTCCATATTGTATTTTTAACCTATTCTTTTAATATAAGATCTAATTTCTGACCTTGAATATAGATTCAATGAGGACAGGTATCAGTATTTGATTTAGATATACATAATATCTAGCTGGTTTTACCTTCTAATATTTACAATAATGATTTACTTATATAATAATAAAACTGAATTTTAAAAAAAAAAAATTGACAATGTTATAACACAATTTGAGAAATCAATAGCTACATATTTGAATTAAGTAGTCAGAAGACTTATCGATAAAAAAATATTTTTTATGTGAGCTTTAACTAGGTGGGCATGACAATACGTACTGGGTTAATGGAAAAAAAATTGCAGATGTCTCTAGAAGTTTTTGAAAGATAGGTTTTACTTTGAAACTTTTCCAATCGTTCATAATTTACTTCATATAGATACCTACTCTTAACTTTACCCGCCACTTCATCAATAGCAGAATGAAATTTGTCTTTTGTTTGTCGATTTGAAAACATGAATGAGATCAAAAATGTTAGAGGAACGACTAAACGGACTTCATATTTCATTGTTGAATTTGCAAAAACAAATAGAAGGAACGATTTTGTACTATGATTAAATTTTTTTTATTGAATAACCGTCAACAATGACGCTTAGGTACGTCCAATCACGTTACACTGAATGCCGTTTATGTTTACGACCACATGTTAAAACATCGATTGTTAATAGTAAATAAGTGATAATAATAATTATTATTATTAATAATAAGTGATATTGATGTTTAGGTTGAATTAATTTATGTAGAATCTTAAGTATAATTTGCCACTTATATGCAGGCTGTCTTACGGAGATATACCCCTTAAATATCTCCGGAGGTAACAAAGATTTATATCCGATAAATATTTTATAAGTAACAGCTGTTTTAAATTCTACATTTTTACTAATCCGTGTGAAAACTTATGTTATCCCGTAACGCGGTTAGGACGTTAGGTTATTCCCTAGATAACATCGGTTTTCACACAGATTAGTACAATTTTAAAACAGCTGTTACTTACTACTAAATATTTAAATATTCATCGGATAAAGAATATGTGATATATCACAATTTTTAGAAAAATAAACTCTACAGAATGACTATTTTAAAATTTATTATAATAAATATTAATTTATAATATAAAATAATAAAATAAAAAGTTAAATTTTAAATTTGTTTTACTAAAAACAAAAAAATTAAATTAAAATATAATTATTTATAGTCCTCATCCTTGTGAGTAATATATAAAAAATAAAAAGAATATGATTATCCTCGGAGATATTCAAGACATATCTTCATGAGATAACCTGTGCGTGTTTCATGTCTAACCTGATGAAAACAACGGTAGGTACTTGTATTTAAATTAAAATGGATTTTTTTAAATTTATTTATTTACAGTTTATATGGAAACTAAATGCAAAATATATTTAGAAATACTTTTTTATGTATGGACATTTGAACTGTACAAAAATGATTTTAATTTAGAATAGGCGTAGCAAATTAAATTTATCATACGGGCGGTAAATCGTTCTTTTACGGTATTTGTCATTGCGTACAGATATAAATTTAATATAACCCTGTTCATATGTCCTTCCCAACTTTCCATCTACAATAGTGGGTCTCCCATGGTGCAAAATTGGTCGGCTTTGTTATCGTTGTATTATTATTACATATTACTTACACAAATATTATTAATAATATGGGCTCACCGCGTTTGGGTGTTAAATACATGTGTACACGAATTTCGAATATTTAACGTCACACACCTTTATTGCTATTTGCTACGTGTATTTTAAACACGTGTATAGAATGGATATTTTATTGGACAACGGTCGTGCAATATTGTTTGATCTTACCATTTGTGTGTTCCTCGTTAGACTTCGATGATCAGTCGTATTTTGTTCAGGCACCGATGCATTCAAATTTCGCGCCATCCGCGTATTCAAAAACGCCGCCATCTTGAAAATTTTAGAGCGGTCAACCAGTGTCGTGCGTTCTAGGATGCTACAACTGTATTGATAGTAAAATGTGACGAATAACAATAACCTCGAATATTTTGGATTAGTTATTTATTATCTAGATCAAGGTGTATTAATATATTAATCCACCTTAGTTTAGACCATATACTGCGATATATGGTGGAAATTTATTATACTGATACTGTTTTAGACGTGCATGTATACTTGTACCCTAATTCGAATTGATTCAATACGAATCCAGTTAATTCGATAAATTGATGCATGTAAACAAGGATCCTAAACTACCAAGTGTTGATAAGAAATCGAGGTATTTGTCAAATGATAACGAAGCAGTTGCTTGTCAGTACAGATATGATCTGTTACATTGTTTATCATAAAAATGGATGTTCGAGAAGACAGCTACTTTAATAACATCCAAATGTTTGATTTCGTGGTAGCAATGGAAGCAGTCGCATTTCAATGTAGTTGTGACCTCCCATGCGTTCTTAGCACGGCCTTAGATTATATAGCATGCACTAATATAAGTGGATAAGTTCCTACCACTGTAGGTAATAGATTATATAATAGTTTATCTACTGTGCACGGCCATCAGATTATATATTACCCATGACAAAATTGTCATGGTATTACTCTATGCATTAGATGGCCGTGTTACTGTGGTTCCTATTAATGAACTATGTCCGGACACCCCGAACCCTAACCCGCCTATAGGCCTTATCGTCCTTATCGTGAAGCTACCGAGGCCTTCCAAATGGTCCATTGCTGTTCGTTGTGTTGAAAAAAGTAACGCTTACGCCCTTTTTTCTTCTAAAAGGGACAAGAGTGAAACCGTAATTAAACAAAATATAATATAGTTGTATTACACCATTTTACACGGGACTTGATAATAAAATATTAAATAAGTAATGCGAACATAGTAATATATCTATATTATCTATGAATGTGATAAACATACACATTTTAACAGCTTCTGTCTCCAATAGGAAAATATGACGTATCGAGTTAATGTCGTTTGGTGTATAATTATGAATTTTAATATGTCTAAGGTTTCATACCAAAGAATTGATGAATTAATAAATTATAATTAGTTAAAAATGTTGAGAACTTATAATAAGGTATAACTTATAATAACTTATATAAGGTGTACAAAAACTTAAAATATTCTCAAATAATACCTGCCTATATTGGTTCAAATTAGAATATCCAAAAATTAGAAATTACCTCTTTATATTAGTGTTTTGACGATGACGCTTCCCCCCCTAGTATACACACCAGCAGCTCGAAGGTGTAATTAATAATTAATTTTATCATGTTAGGAAGAATGAAGATTTAACAAATGTTATGACTTGTTCTGTTCAATATTTTTAATGTTTTTTTTTATAAGATAATTACTAATGTCTTGGACTATAATTCCTCTATTTTATTGTTTTTTACTAAGAATAAAAAATTGTATACACAATCCAAGATATTAAGGTACATAGGTACCTACCCATTATTCGGTGTTATAGATATTTAGGTACTAGGTAATAATAAAACTTTAGATTTCTACGTTTTATCCAAGTTTATAAAAATCATTAGCAAAATTATTTTTCATAGAAGAATATTGGTAAACCGATTATTATTATTTATTAGTAATGAAAACTATTTAAATTGAAGGGTAGGGTAACCTTACCTAACCTACTTCCTCTTCAATTGTCTTAATGTCTTATACTTCAAAAAATTGCTCCCCTCCAAAATATTTCGGTTATTTGAGCTTATGTTTATTCGATTACAAACGATACAAATAAAAACAATTTTTTTTTTTATTGTTTAGTGTTTATGTGTATCTGTATCAGTAACTTAGCTAGGTACCACAGAAGTATATATGGGGGTGATCGAGACTCGGGACCCCCCATATATTGAGAAAATCACGGCAAAGAATTTAGACATCGATGAAGTACCTACATAGTTGAAGCATTTAAAAAAATGGTTCCATCTTCCGTATGATCGTCATCTAGTTCATATTTGCATAAATATTATATTAACTTTTTGTAATATTCTCTTAATTTGTATAATATTAAAATGTATAAATTTAATGTGCATTTTGTTTTTCGAATTTAAGTATTAAAACTTAAATGATTATTGAAAATACCTATAGAATAATTGAGAATTCTAGGTATACAAATAAAACAGCGCGTAAGAGGTATACATATATTGATAATCAAAGAAGTTTGGCATTCGACTTTAAACAAGAAGAAATAGTTAATTGAATTGAAGGCACCCACTCAGATTTATACACATACCTATTAGGTATTATAGTTTATAAAATAATTACCTATTTTAATTTTTAAACAACTATAATTATTACTGATCCATGTGAATTTTCAATTTTATGAATATAATATAACATATATAAATATATATATATATGGATTGACTTAGTTTTGAAGTTATAAAACTTTTTAAAGTTCGGATATTTTATGTATTATCTACCTATGTTAAAAAATTCAATATTGCTTTTTAGTTTTTTCACATCTTGTTTATTATCATCTTAAAGGTCACGAGTTTGAACTTCGTTTCTCTTAAATTGTTTTTACTTTTTACAATGTTTTACGTGTTTTTACAGATATAATAATAATTATTAAATACCTACCTAAGGTTTTTTTTGCAAAATGCATTTGTATTTTCCTTGTTAGGTACCTGCCCGACATGGGTTTGCGTAAGCACAACAAATCTAAGGGTTTTTTTTGAGCGAATGACGATTTGGGTCTGTTGTTTATACTCTATACCTATAGACCACAAATTAATTAAATCATATAATATAGGCATAGGTATCATCACTACATTATGAAAATTGATAAACATAGGTACTCAAAGTTGAATTAAGTAGGTACTTAACATAAACACATAATACACATAATATCCAAATTTCAAAAAAAACTTTAACTTTGCAACTTATTCAGTCCTCTCAATTCTAACTTCACTTTCGTTCCTAACTCGGCAATCTACATATTATGTTCAAATAATTAAAAAAATTGTCATCAATCAGTAACTAGATTATTTCCAATAATTTAAAATTCATAGTATTATTACTCTCATTCTCAGAGGTGTATATTACGTTAGGTAATTATTATTTGATTTACTAATTACAGAATTGAATAATGTAACGTCGTTAATATGAGTGGAATAAATCTAGCTACAATACAAATATTTCAATTTTTGTTTTTTGGTTGTGACTAAAACAAAGTTTAAATCGGATATACCCATTACTTATTTTTCTGGTGATGTAGATTTAATAATACATAGGTGTATAGCAATAACTAATAAATTAATAAATTGTTATTATTAGTTTATTATTTACAGTGATCAAAATTATTAGTTTTACCATGGTAACGGTAGTTGCTTAATTTCAACTATACAAAATTTCATTTCAAACAACTACTATATATATATATATATATCATTTTTATATCAAGCGTTTGGAACGTTCGCCGCCCCGCTCGTGAATTTTGTTCAGTGATTTTCGTCAACATGACAATATTCATTAGCGGAAGGGTGTAGGGGAGAGTGGGAGACTGAACGTGTAGGTAGCGCTTGTGTAGAAAATCGTACCTCCTTCCACCCCCCGAAACACCATGTTATTGATCTTATTTCGTAACGGTAACTATGGTTACATACTTATATCTACTAGGGAGTAGACAGTGATGACTTTTCGTTTTCACTTTTTCAGTGATTGTATGGGTACTCGTCATGGCCGTTGTTTATTCGATTTTTTCACTTTAATTCTAATTTCTATTCGGAAATTAATATTTAATTGCATGCGATCCTTAGCTATCATGGCTACTAAGAGTTCCTAAGATTGCGGTTGTGATTATCATCATTTTTACGATTTGTCGCGACTTTACTTAGAGATTTTTTTTACCAATAAATAATAGTACACAGGTTAGTAACAATGGCGGACATTGTACACATTATCAGTACTTTCAGTGTTCGATTATTAGTGAAATGTGAACTACTACCACTATATGTCTATATACGCATTATTTCCAAACCAACTTATATAATATAATATTATTTATTAGTACTACCTATGTTTATTTAATTATTCAGATGTCAATATTCTATTCTCTCTTCTAATCATATTACATTTGATTAGATGTTATATTATTGTTTGCGGTTAACTTTTGTTTAGTTTTATGGAGGCTATAATTTTGAATGCCATTAATTTATATAAGTATTATAACTAGGTACTCAGTAGAACTTTTTTTTTGTACGAAGTCTAAAACTTAAATACTTTAAACTTAATACTATAACTTAAAAACTTGAATACATAGGTAATTAAATTTAAAGTGTTTTCAATAAATTATTAAATATTGATTCACTAATTAAAAGTTTACACCTAATCAATTTGAAAGTATTGATTATTTAAAAATAATAATGTTGTGTATAGACATTGATTTTATGAAATACTAGTATTAAAAAATCAATGCCATAAACTAATGGTTTTTGCGACTATAGAATCCCAGAATCCAAAATAACTTATTTACAAATTCGAATTAATACAATAGTGATTTCCGTTGGTTTTCATTGAAACTAAAACTCTGTTTCAAAATAGTTCTATAGTATTGCCTATCTGCGTATTATAAAATCATTAACATAAGTAACATTAACATTGTAGTTAGCATATGAAACTAGGTTTAATGCTATATTTTATTTACACTAAGATATTTCTGATTTATTTTATCACGTTTATTTATTCAATATATGTTAATCTTTTGTATAATTTAACATTTTCGCAGTGAACCATTGTTAGGCTTGATTGAAAACATATTTGTATCAAAATGATGGCAGACAAATTATTTAAAGCTGTTAAAATAGGATTGCCTGAATGTTACAAATTACCGCAAAAAGCTAAAGATATTTTGAACACCGCAGTAAGATTATTTTTCTAAAAATCAAACAATTTTAAAATATATTATAACTTATTAATGCTTAAATCATATTATGTTTTGTTTATACAGAATAATTCACTAGATGATCTAGATAAAAATGATGTTAAAACGTTATGGGTTTTGTTACATGATTGTATTAAGGAAACATCAGTATTAAAAGATACTATTCAAGATATAGAGCTATTAAAAAGTTATCAATGTGTTTTAAACCTAGTTCATTGTGCTATTCTTTGTACTGTAGAGATAAGTTGTATATTTCAAGATGAACATTTAACGAACAGCATTATGGTATTTCAAAGTTTTTACTCACTAAATGTCAAGAAAAAGGTAATTGTATAACTTTTTAAACAATATTCATTACCAATAATTATGTAATGACATAGTTATAAATAATAGGCATATGAAGTCTAATAAAATAATTATAATTTTTTTAGAAATCCAATTGAAATATAGAAAACAGTGTTTCAAAAGACATTTGATTACTATTTATTTAATTGGCTCAATATTTTCATCTCATTAGTCAACTTTACACTGTTTATATTTTAGTTTTCATTCAATAAATATTTTTAATTAATATTTATTTTGGGGTTTTACATTTTTTTTTTTTTAAGTGCAGATTTTTTTTCTAACAAATCATATGATAAGTATGGGTACTGGTTTGTTTTAGCGAGTGAAAACTTTATGGCCCTGCCACTCAGGTTTGTTATCGGCCTGCCATCCATATAACAATAAATACATTATATCAATATATCACCAAATTATTAGATTAATAAATAAACTCATTATTTTCTATATTGATTTATTATATTATTGATTATTTATGATAAACACCTATGGTAGGCACCTAATAGTAATAGTATTAAACCGTCTAATTATTTTGTATGATGTATTTATTGCTATATGAATGGCGGGTGATAACAAACCTGAGTGGCTGGGCTATAAAGTTTTTATATGTGAATAAGTATTTCTTTAGGTTTTACATGGTATAAAGGCATATTGAATAAATAAGTACCTAATTTCTTTTTCTATTTTATAGTATCTTTTCTTGAATTTTGTATATTTTGGATTAATATTTTTATTTGGTACACATGTATGAATTTTAATTTTCAGTTTAAACTGGAAATAATACAAATGTACCTAAGTTTTTGGAAATTATATAATCCATATAAAAACGGAACAATATCTGAAGATATAGATGAAATAACAACTAAAAATATGATTTTTAATGTTGATTATTTATTTGACACAATTAAAAGCACTACAGTTAAATCTGATATGGTGAGATATATAATACCTATTTTGTAAATAAGCATTCACTATTGTTTTATTTACATGTTTAGGACACATTAGCCCTTATATTGTGGGAATTATGGAACCTTATGAAAATAATATTACCATCAGATAAACCAAAATTGGATTTATTCTTGTTGAATTTGGAAAACCATTTAGCAAATTGTAAAATGTATTTGGAAACAGAAACAGGAAAATTGACTTTTGCAAATGTATTTACAATTAATGAAGAGTCATTTTTGGTAATATATTTGAATTTATACTTATATATATATATATATAATGTACTTCTAATAAAATGTTCAGATTGTTTATTAGAATATATGGGTTAACAAGAAGATATCCAAGTTAGACAAAATGAATAAAGACAAATAGACAAAATATTTTTTTAATAAAATCTATCAACTAATTTGTTTATTTTATATTTATATTTAAATGTTGGGGTGTTTTCTAATACCAAACTTTTGAGCAGACCAAGTTTTTTTTATCCATTTAAATTTGAAAATAGTATGTGAAATGCCATGACTTCCAATTTTCAATATAATTTGAAATTTATTAAACCTATATTAAAAAAAAAAAATTTCAGCTATTGATTTTTAATCTTTTTATAGTGTTATAAAAACACCTTATGATAAATCTTATTGTTTACAATTTTTGAGCATTTGTAAAAAGCCTAATAAATTTTATCCACTCAAACCAAATAAATACTAAAATACTTAAAAAATGTCACCATAAATTTCACAAGAAAGAGCTAATATAACTCTTCACTGCACATTTTTTGACATTTTTCATAAATTCGACTGCAATATGAAATCTGGAAGGCTTTGTATAACTTTTATGAATTTAGTTATTATATTTAGTAATAAGTGACAAACTTTATGTATGTATAGTTTTAAATAAACTTAATATTAAATATTTTCTATAGAAATTTCACGAATTATTAAGGAATAATTTACCAAAATCAAATAAAGCAATAATTGAATTATATAGTGAAGTATATTTTATTGCATGGAAAATATCAGATGATGACATGCGAGAAGTAATAAATATTTGAAAATACATATGCAAATTTTTTAAATTTTTTAAATTCTTGAATTTGAAATCATAGGTAATCCAACAACAATCATTATCTGACCTACTATGTTCAGCAATTAAATTAAGACGTGAAGGTATGTCTTATGTTACTTTTTGTAAAGTTGCAATTTTCTTAGAAGGCTTGCTGAAACATAAAACAGATATCACGTTCAGCAGAGTTATTACTCAATTATTTGCCCCTATTTTTTGGAGTTATTTAGTAGTATGCATTTCAGTTAAACCTAATATTTATATATTTATATATTTATTTATTTATGGTTTTAAAATAGAATAGGTATGCTATGGTCAGAGCCAATTGCATTTACCTTTTTTCCAAAGTTTATCCTTTAGAAAAAAGAGAGGAAATGTATGATGTATCAGCAACATTTTTAATTAGGCAACAAAATGCATTAATGAATGCATTGAGTGACAGTTGTTATAGAATTCAAATTTTAGCTATAAAAGTAAGTATTATTATAAATATCAGTCTTTAATGATTTATTTGAGATATCCAAAATCTATTAATTGTTTTTATCCAAATTTATAATTAGGAAACAATAGTTTCTAATAATGATATTATATTTGTATAATTTAAAATTTCAATTAAAAATTGCAGTAATTAATAATGCTCAAAATGCTTGCTCAAAATTGTGTTTCATTGTACTTATATGAATTGAATTCTTTATATCCTACCTTTTCAAATTCCCAACCACAAAATAAGTATTATTATATTCATATTATTTTTATTTATTAGTTTATTACCAATCAAATATCAACCTTTTTTTTATTCTCTAAACAAAATCTACAGAATTTTGAAAAAAAATCTAACTCTTTCCAAGATAATAAATACTCTAGATAGTTTACTTTATATAGTACATACCTATTCATTTTTGATTTTAAACATTTGAATTCAACTGGCTTATTTACTGTATGTATGTTAGTTTAACTAAATTATAACTTATCTTTACAGGGAATTAGTATGTGTATGAGAAAATTTTGGAATACATTTAATGAATATCAGATTATTAAATGTTTTGAAATATTTTTAAGTTTAATTGAAGGAAATAATATTGATGTACGTAAAGCGGTATTCCATGGTTTCACTGTGTTACTGGATATAACTGAATCACATATTTATTTTAAAAACTCTGAAATGTTTACTAAAACTAAGCAAATACTGATGAATGAAAACGAAAAAATTAAAGTTCGACGTTCTGTGTCACATTTTTTATTGAAAGTTAAAAAAGTTGACAGTAAGTCAAAGGATGCTGCTACAATTAAATATGAAGAAATAGTTAATTTACAAGATATTTCCATTATATTTGATGTAAATTAAATTTTTTTTTGTAAAGTTTCTGTAATTATTATTTATTGTATATTTTGTTTTTAGAACAATTGTGAGGAAATTAGATGTCTTTTAGTTGATTTAATTTTTGACTATTTTTATGGAGATAATGTACAGGATGAAAATGTTACAATTATGAGATTAACTGAGTTTTACAAAATTAATAAAACATCTTTTCACAATATGATATTTTTCACAAAAAAGACACTAAATTTTAACAATGCTTGTAAATTTATGCTTATGTTGTTGCGACATGTGTATTGTTTATTTAAGAAAGCAGAACATTTGGAAGACACAAATATAGACTACAGTATTCGGTTCAAAAAGCTTAAAATAAATTCTGATTCTGGTATCAAAAATTAATGTTTATAATTTATATAAATTATTCAAAGTATACTAAATATAAGGAAATATTTCAGAAAACATTGGGGACATAAATACTTCATCAGTTGGAAATGATGATTACTACAGACAAAATAAAGATTCCTATATTTGTTGTATTTTGGATTGTGTAAACTGTCTCATAGTCGTCCATGACAATACATTTACTGAGGATTGTAATCGTAAACAATTTACAGAAATTCAAGATTTGTGCATCTCATGTATTATTGGAATACTGAAGTTTCATAAGGTAATTATTTTATATTTAGCTAATGATTAGATAGAAAAATATTAATTATGTATTATGGGTTTGGTTAAAAATAATATTTTCAGGTATATTGTGTTCTAATAAACATCATAATATATATACATTTAATAATTTTATTGATATCTAATAAATGTATATTTTTAAGTGTGCATGTATATTTTAGATTCTTAGTCTAGTAGGAAATGTATTGGTTTTTTTACTATAATGTGGACTTTTTCTTTTTTTTCTGTTTGAAAATGGTGTATTTGTAATGGTGTGGTCATTTTCTAATTTTCCTCATAGTTTTCAAAATAGTTGAAAAAATAAAAATAGGTACACAATAATTGTTTCTGTTATTTTGTTGTTTTTGTGATTTGGTTAAAAGTAATCATAGAAACCTGAAATTCATACAGAATATTTATATCAGACCATTTAAAACATAGTAAAAATGTCCAAACATTGTGGCTATTCTTGAGCTATTTATAGGCATTTGACATTTTCGAGTTTTTTTAAATGTAATATTTATTTTTAAGCCAATTAAATTGTTTTAATTAATTCATCATATATTTTATACTTGGTGGTAAAAAGAAAATAGTTGAGCTTAATGTCATTTTTTTTAAGAAACTCACCCTACCTTTTCAAATTTCCCCCTACAACAATGATACATATTTCAAAAGTAAAAACAAATATATAAATTAAAAACAAGCAAACATGAGCCAATACGTTTAATTAAAATTTCAATCAAAGGCCATAAATTAATAATTTATGATGAAAATTAAACCTAAATATCTTAAACAATGTTTATTGTGTTATAGAATGACAAAATTTATGTTAGTACTATGTGTCTGGCAGCTTTATTTCCTATTTCAAAAATAATGGTTCATACATCTGCACCAAGTACAGCATTATCTACTTTAAAACAATTTCCAAATAATATGATGGAAATGGAAGAGACGAATAAAGATCTTCCAGTCTGCATTACTTATGCATTGAGCATGTGGAATCAAAGCTACAAAATAATTCAAATAGTGACTAATTGGTTTGAGTATGCCTTTAAAACTTTGGATCCCAATGCAACACTGGTATAGTTTTGAATTAAAAATTATTTATTATAAATTTCAATCATAGGACTTAAGAATTTGGGTATAGATATGTTTTATGAAATCAAAAACTAAAATAGTCTTTATATTTCAGACTTTCAGAACTAAAGAAAAAAATGTCTTTGAAACAAATTCAAAAGAATGTAAACCAAAGATTGGTAATTTATTGATTACCTGCATGTTAACATGTAATAAATCACAACAGAAACTTAGAGATTCTGGTATTAACGAATATAATGTTCATGAAATGATTTTATGCTTGGAGAAAATTAAAGTATGTCCTTATTTTAGTTTAAATATAATTTAGTATAAATGTACTTGTTATTATTAAAAATCACCAATAAAAATATTGATGTTTATCTAATGTTGTTAATTAGCCAACAATTGAAAACCGGATGTTTTCAGATGATAGTTTAAATAATATATTAACAGATGAAGTTATGATTGAGTTATTTTATTTATATATGAAATTGCCCATTATATACTACAATTATGATAAGAGTCTCAGAAATAATAAAATCATAGATCATCAAATGTCTGTTTTTGATTGGATTTTAGAGTTTGTATAATTGATTAACTAGATTTTGATTTTATATATGTAAGTATGTAAAAATAATATTATGAAATTTTTATTTCAGAAAACTACTTGTTAAAGATTTACAGCTTAAATGTGACAGGACCAAAATATTTATAGTCAGAATAATTAAAGTTGTTAATAATACTGTATATAATTACAGTTTAATGAAAATTGGAACTCATGTATATTTAAATAAGTTTTTCATAATGTGTTCTTCAATCATTGATAGTAAAAATATATAAAATTAACATAATTTATTAAATAACAAATAGTATATTTTAATTTTGATGGTTATTTATTAGATAATTTAGGTGAATGGATTCTATTACATATGATAAAAACATTGGGAGAAGGATTAGGCTATTTATATTATCTGGAAAATACGAATTCTGCTAAAAATGACGTGTCTACTTTAAACAATTGTGTGGTAGCTATCACTAATATTGTATCATTCTTTGAAGATTATAAGTCAACCGAAGAAGATTTTATAATGTGTTTTGGAGTGAGTTTTTTTTAGAATATATAAAATTAAAAAACATAAATCATTGCACCATAGCGCCATTATGTTCATACAAATGACTTAAAATTACAGTAGTAGTACAATTTCTTTTTATAAAGAAAATTTAGTTAAAACATATTTTCTTTATAAAGTTATATTTGTATTGGTCTATAATTATTATTTAGTATCATCTGATAGAAAGTTTAAAATTGTGCCTTCTATGGAAAAGTATCTATTGTTAAAAGATATAAATAGAGGTTTTACATAGTACATTATTTGTATATATTTTTATATGAATATGCACAAATAATTGAATATTTCTTTAGTTTTTCCAAGTAAAATAGCCAAGACATAAAGATTAGAATTCATAAGTGTTTGTTAATAGAAAATAGATGTTTTAGTTACTATTCATACAGTTAAAAACTATCTGTAAAATATTAAGATTTTTTAGTTTTTTAATTTAAAAAAATATATGTGAAAAAAAAAACTAAAACATTAATGCTAAAAATATATTTCATTAACTATTCCAAAAAGGAATTTATAAATTAAATAATTTCAGGAGCCAAAAGTGTTTCTTAAAGAATTTTGCAACCTGATTTTGGAACTAAAAAGACTTAGTGCACCAGATTTTCATCAAGTTTTTTTGGCATTTATTGAAACTATAATGGTTATTATTGATAATGAAATAAGAAAAGTAAGTATTTTTAGTTTATATTTATAAATTTCATATATTTTTTTTATTAATTTTCTGTTATTTTTTGTTTTTATTATTCTGTTAATACATGTTTTATTTTTTCAGATTAATAGTGTTGATTTGATTGAAAATCCAATTATTATACCATTTTCTGGTTTCCTGTTAATAAGAGTGATTTTAAATAATTTGCAGTTGCTGAATTATTTTTCAGATAATATAGTTCAATTATTTTCGTCTCCTATATATCAAAATGTAAAATTTAAATTTATTTTAGATTAATCATTTACATACGTGGGCGTACCCGAAAGAAACCGAACTGATGTTGGGTGGGACAGAGTTTTAGTAGTACCGATTTTTTTCCGGTAGGGGCGTATAAATATACTTCTCAACATTCAATATGCTAACAGCATATTGAATGCATCGTGGAAGGTTGTGTTACATTGGTGTGATATTTTTTTTAAAAGTTATTTTTCGTACTCGTTTTTGTAATGGCTGATTTGCGTGAACAGCGCGGTCATCAAGTTTTGCTTCCTGCTCGAGAAAACAGGCACAGAAACCCTTCAGATGTTGAAAACAGCTTACAAAGGTGTTATTTTAAGGAAAACTCAAGTATTTGAGTGGTTTTCCTGTTTCAAAAGTGGTGAAATGTTGATAGACGACCAAACTCGCTTGTTGATGCCCTTCGACATTGACGGCGCAAACCAATGAAAATGTAGAAAAAATTCACAAAATTATCCTGGAAGATCAATGGCAAACCATCGAAGAAGTAGTGGAGAAATCTGATGTGACATGGAGTTCAGTACAGAGAATTTTAAGTGAAGATTTGGTGGTGAGACGGGTGGCTGCAAAATTTGTTCCTCGACTGCTAACTGAGCAGCAAAAACAAGGCCGCGTGGAATCATGCTCTTCTTTGAAAGAATTCCAAAATGACCCAAACTTCTTTTCCAAGGTCATTACAGGTGACGAATCATGGTGCTATGGATATGATCCTGAAACCACCAACAATCGAGCCAATGGAAGACTCCAGCATCGCCTCGCCCTAAAAAAGCTCGTCAAGTGAGGTCAAACATTAAGACAATGCTCATTTGTTTTTTTGATGTGAGAGGAGTCGTCCATTCGGAGTTTGTTCCACCTGGTCAGACAGTTAACCAGGCATTTTACCTAGAGGTGTTAAAAAGATTACGCAACAGTTTGAGGCGAAAAAGACCTGATTTGTGGCAGTCAGGAGACTGGTTTTTTCATCACGACAATGCTCCTGCTCACACAGCCCTTTCTGTACGGCGGTTTTTGACCAAAAATGATATGACCACTGTGTCCCATCCACCCTATTCATCCGACCTGTCTCCCTGCGACTTCTTTTTATTCCCCAGAATGAAAAGGAACATGAAAGGAAAGTGTTTCGTGGACATTGATGAAGTTAAAAAAAAAAACGACAGAGGCGTTGGCAGGCATCACAAAAGATGAGTTTAAAAAGTGCTTGGAAAATTGGAACAAAAGATTGGACAAGTGCATTAACTCCAACGGAGAGTACTTTGAAGGAAATTAAATGTTTTTTATAAAAAAATTAAATAAATAACTTTGTACAAAAATAGTTCGGTTTTTTTTGGGTACGCCCTCATATAGGTTTATTTAATAATTTATTTTCTTTTCATATATTAGGACTGTATCAGATTGTTATCTGCGATTAATTTTATTTTCAATGTAACATTTCATTCAAGAGCACGCGCAATTAATTTTGCACCAATTCTAAAAGTGCTATTCAAAATGTTAACAAAATCTGAAAATAACGCACCACTCAGTGCCTTTGACTATGGAGATTGCAATTTCGATATCTCTATTTTTGAAGTACCATGTTCCAACAAGTAAGAAATAATTATTTATTAAAATTATTTATTGTTATTCAATGAATATTTTTTTTGATTTCAGCTTAATGTATATAAAAGCAAAAGGGCGTGATATTTTGGTAAATACAGCTAAAAAACTGCACTTGACTTTTTAGGTTGATTGGTTTAATTCAGGTTTTTTTCTTCTTTTTTTTAATAGTGAAAAATATTTGTTTTTATTATGAAAATACAATATTTTTTACTACCAATGTGAAACTAATAGTTAAAATGTTCATATAGATAAAACATTTTTTTCTTGTATTTTAAGGTGTCTTTTAATAAAAGTACTATTGATGTTAGTTAAAGCTAGGATTAATTACTAAAAATGTCTCCAACTTATTAGTCTTAGGTAAGTTAATATAAAAAACTAATAATTTAACTATTTTATTATTGTAGTTATCATAGATCATTAAGAAGTGGATTATGGATAGTCCACAATTTAAAATTTAAATTATCTAGACTTTAAGTCTAAAAGTTACTCTAATAGTTAAATAATTTGCCTCAATTGGCCATTACAGAGATTATATAACAAAACATTTATACTATTGTCATATTTGAAAACAAAGTTACTTTTTCTTTTTAACATATTAAATTAAAATATAATTTATCTGAAACAACACGTTGAGTTAGAAAATTTTAAATAATTAAAATTGACTGATTAAATTTGCTAGCTTTGATATTTATTTATATGTATTTATATGTAGTGCCATAATATTGTTCATAATTTACTTAAAATTATTATTTCTTATTTAAAATGTAATTATTAAATTTATTTACTCACCAATAAAAATATGCTGAATATATATTATGTTTGTTTAATATATATCTTATTTATCTTTTTATTTATAACTATAATATAATTGTTTTAAACCATTATTATGAAATGATGGTTAAAATATTTCAGTTATTATTTTAAGTTCTTTTAAATATTTATTAAACATTTTAGTAATGATATATTGCATCAATAATATTAAAAATTAATATTGTTTACATATTTGTATTTGTAATATCTAATAAGAATACAATGTTGTCATAACTTAGGGATGCCATATTCTACAAGTAACTCATTCTATATTTTATAACAATGTCCTAGTAATTGTTTAAAAATCTTGTTAATATCCCATTTATTCAAGTATCTGATTTATGTGTCTTATACAAATATAAATTATTCATTATTATCAATTTATGTAAATGTATTTTCATGATAAGGAATGTATATTTATATCACTTGGAAAGTATTTAAAGAATTTCATAAATTATTTTGTATTGCATTTTTATATTAGAAGTAACTTTTTTAATTTATTTTTTAATTAAGTCTTATTTTAATATTAAAAAATAGATGTGTTTGTATTAATAATTTTAAGATTTTTAGAACTGTTTATATTTAATTTAATTTACTATTTTCCTTTTTAAAATTATACTGTTTAAACATTTGTTTGTTTTTTTTAATTTATATATATTAAAGTAATTTACTTATCTATCATAGTTCATATTTGTGTATGAATATTATAAACAGTGCTTTACACCATAATTTATAAAACTTAGAAATACTTTTTGTATAATTTTTAATTTACACTTCAAATTTAATTTCAGAATATATACAATTATGTTAAAATTATCAATGAAAAATCAAAGCCATTAGGTCACTCAAAATTCTTAAAACAATTAAATATAATCATGATTGTCATAGTTTAGCAGTTCACACTTTTTTTTCCATTTAAGAATTGTAAAAATAGCATTTGTTTATAATATATATTTTGACCCATAGACCTTATAATATTTAGCATACACTACACATTATGATTGGCAATCATAAGTGATGGTGTATGAATGACAATTGACATTCAAATTTCAAACTGATGACTTTTAAACAGATTTGAATTTTATCAATCATTACCATTCAAAATGCTTAGTGTATGACTGGTTTTAGGTCTTTAGTCTTAAGTTTTGTTCAAGGCTGTATATTTAGATGTTTATCCGCTATATATTATGTTTATCTACTATATTTTATGTTTGTATTATAAACAATATTAAATACATTTTCCTAATCTCATATCCTTGTTTTCTTCATTATTGGTTTATTAATTTTATATTCTGCTCATATTATCTTAAAATAGTGATTAATACCTATATAAAATGTAGGCTGTGCTCCAATTGAGGGGTAGAGGAGGTTTTCAAGTTCTCTTATGAATTATTTTTATTCGTATAGAGCAGGGGTCAGCAACTTTACTTACTGAAGCCACATTTTGTTATCAGCTTTTCATTGAGTGCTGCATACAAAATTAAAATAAACATTATTAAAAATACAATTTCAATATATAATACTAATATATTTATAGAAAGTAACAATAATATGAGTTAAACATTGGGAGGTTGTCTTTATTAAATAGATTTGAATAAAATATAGTTCCTATGTGTTGTGTAACTTGAAAGCGCTGAAAAGTTGATACGGCTTTATCACATACATCACAGTACAAAATATTCGAATCGCTACGAAACATTTCGTCCGGAAAATCTCGCACGTATCTCATTACGAGGTCTTTTTTTAGGGGCAGCTTTCGGCATTTTCATTTAAACACAGTGATATAATTAAAAACTAAAAAGACTCAACAAATACGAAAAACACGAGGACACATGGACACCTCTCCATTGAGTAAACAATAAATAACGAAATAAAATACCTATACTTTTATCGAAACGCGTACAGCATTGCAGCACATTTTCGACGAAATACAATAATATGCGATAAGCCGATAACGATCACATAAATAGTTTATGATGTGAACCACGGTATATATTAATGTACCATTAATGTAAACCACATGTATATATTAAATTACCTAAAACAGTGGCTACATCCATTCTCATTATTCTAGAATGTCTTTTTTTCCTAATTATTTATAAAACTATAGAAAAAAAAAAATCAAAAACGAATAACTTACTCATGAATTAGACTAAAAATGCTACAAAAAGGTCGTTTAACTATTGGTTCTTTATTTAAAATAATGAAGTCGGTATACCGTATGAAAAAAAAACATCGTATAGTTCATCTTTAAAGTTATTATGAAAATTACTTTAGATATCAAAAAACTTCTTTGTCTATGACTATATGTTAAAAGGAACAAAATCCAACTCTTGTCATTTTTGTATTGGAGTAATATTTCTGGTAGAAAACATCGTGTATATATAATACAAACAATGAAAACGGTAACGCCGCAGCAAACGTAAATATTTACCATTTTACCTATAATTTTCTTTAGAGTTTTTCTGAATTATTTCGAAAACCCCTTGGAAAATTAAAAAATGACCTTGCCAATGCACTAACTAGAGAAAATTACCTTTCAGAAAAGGTGCTATAATTTATACTTTGGAGCAAGTTTTCTGGTAGAAAAGTTGTTCGCAGACTCGCTACACTCCAAATCTAAATTGGACAAGACTGTCCACAGTATTCGTTACTCTGTGCCAATGCAACTAATGACACGACGAAGACTAAATTATATAGAAATTAGATACAATAAAAAATAATTCTTTTATAATAATTTGTGTTACCATACAAAAACACGTTGCTAATACAAAATAACAGTTGACTTGTAAAATGTCTAAAAAGCTATTAATACTGGTATAAATATGCTAGTTTGTGAAACACTATTATTAGACATGCATAATTTTATGGCGTTATGCAGAAACCAGAAAGCAATTAACCCACAATAATATAATACGCTATTTAGATATTATTGAAGTTTTATAAAGTTTTATTTTTTTTAAATATTTCTATCAAATTGAATTAACCATCCTAATTTATAATAATGTAAAATGATAAGAATCTTTATCAAATCTACAGAAAACAATCAGGCCACGGCTTGGATTGATGTATGATAGTACATTTTCCACAGTATGACAACAAATACAAAATCAACACACCGTGGATGTTTATTAAAAAAAAATGGTACAATTACTTTTGTTAGATAAATCATTCAGTTAAATATTTAAACATTGATAGATAGCGTTATACTCCAATATTTGTTTGGTTGTTTTTAGCAAAATGTGCAATCTGACATTTTCTGCCTAAAATCACCTATAAAAATTCTCGATTTTCAAATTTTGTGGTTTGGTTGCTTTCTGCATACTCCATTAATTAATATTTTGTTTTCCTACTAATAATATTATCATTTTGAAACTGACAAATAGGTGTTATTCTAGACAACCGCTAGGTACCGACACATACTCAATAATTCAGCCATTTTGTTTTAATTATTCTGAACCACGGTTTTAGTTTTAGGATGAAAAAGGTTTGTTTGTGAAAATAGTAGGCATACCTATTATAACATTTATAGTAGCCATCCGAACATTTCTAACATACTATTAATTACTGTTCAGTTGTTGACGTTAAGACTTAAGACTGTATTTAATATATTCAATTCAGCTTTCAATTACAAGGTCTTGTTTATAGATTTACAAAGTGTTAATTCACAAAACCACAAGTTTATAATTTTTTTTATATTATTCTGTAATTTATAGGTGTCCGTATTCAACAAAAACAAAATGAAGGATTTCTGGGTATTGATAAACAATCGTTCATCAGAATACTTAACCTACCTAGGTATGTATGTTTTTGATATTTGGTGTCAAATGCTGTATATATAAATATAGGACTAAAATACCAATGAATACTACTGTCCACTAGGATATATATATAAGCATTCATTTTTAGAAATCAATTTTTCTTGTTCTTCAGCTTAGCTACTCAAGCAAGTCTCTCCCTGTTTACCTTTCCCTGTTTAATGCTAGTTCAACAGACTTGTAAACATCTAACATTCTAATGTCCTTCTCCAAAGCATCCCTCTTGGTCTACCCAGTGACCTTTCTTTTGTATTCTTGCTGTTGTAACCTTTTTAATTATATCTTCCTCACCTTTCCAAATGTGTTCGGACCACTCCATTTTTTTGATTCTTAGATAGTTAGAATAGTTGGTTTCCCATAAAACTGGTATACATCATTACTAGACCTATAGTTTAATGAATGATAACACAAATTAAACATTAAATCTCAAACATTTTTTTTTATTATTTAGATATTAATATAATATTTTCAATAAACCAAATATTTTTACATTATTAATTATTTGAGATTACTAATATTTACAAGAATCAAAATTTGTTAGCATACACTTAGTTTTTTGAAACCTAACCATAGGTACTATATGATATCTTCTCCTTTGTCTTCATCCCAACTATTTGAGGCTCTTAACTCCCCACTTGTGTTATTCCACATAGACTTCTTACACTTACAAATTTAAATATAATTTTTTTTACATATCTTCTATCAAACTAATATACAATCTAGGAACTTTTTTCATTAATGCCCTCATCAGAACTTCTCTGTCATAAGCCTTCTCTAAATTTATAGAAGCCATATATCTTCTCTCTGTACTTTTCAGTCTGTCTCACACAAAACACAAGTTCTTGGATATTAATTTCTCACTTATAATTCTTTTTTTTATAATTTTTTCCCATATCTTCATACTATGACTTATCAATTTATTTCCTCTATAATTCCCAAACTCTTGTATATCTCCTTTCCCTTTAAAAATAGGTATTACAAAACTTCCTCTACTTGTGATATTTTTCCTTCCACTGACACTTTATTGAAAGATATTTTAACCTATGTGATATCATTATGAAAAAAGAAAAATGTATAATTTAATATTGTATCTATTGATAAAGAAGAAAATATCCTTTTACTAATGATCAATTATTAGATTGTTGCTTAATTTTTAGAGTTTTAATGAATTTCAGAATAGTATACTGTATTACAAAAACTGACATACACTGGTATTTTAACCCTGTATTATTTAGATTTTTTTATAGGTTGTTAATTAGATGTAAAGATTTTACAGATATAAATTATTTCAAAATTATGAACACATTTCCTTTCAAAATTCAAGTTACGATTTATTTATTAGCCATTATTATGTTGATTACATTGATTTGGAAGTTTACAGAGGTACTCGAACATCAAACACAAGTAAATGACAGTAAGTACGGTTTCTTCAGTAGCTTCTGAATTAGCTATTCTAATAGCTACCACCAGCCAGTATAATATGTGTTATTAAGTTTTATATTTTATTTCAAAATGTGTAATTTTGTAATTGTGTAAGTATATTCTTAGTTTCTCAAATAGTGTATTTTAAAATTACAGATCCATGCTTCATCTGAAACAAAATTTAAGTTCTCTGAAATTGTCTTAATATTTGTGTTAATCAGCTCTTTTTTCATAACATTTTAACTGACATCCTATATCTAATATATTTGCTCTATTCGGTGATAATTAGCAGATAGGTATTTACATAATAAATGTATACAACTAGAAGATAAGGTCCTTTATAAAAATAGTAAAAAGTGGAGATAAGAAATATGTATACAAAGTTGAAGTTGTATAATATATAGAATTATTATTACAAAAACTAGTATTCCTATTAAAAATTTAAATCAGACAAACTATGCTATTGATATATTCCAAATTAAACATTTATTCTTAATGGCTTCTTATTACTGTTGTATAAAGTCAGTTTATTTTTATTTTTAATGTAAGCTGTATAATTTTGATTTATAGATGGATGCAAAACAGATACATATTAATGTATAGGCAGCTAATGGTATTGGTTTATAATGACTTATTTTTCTAGAAAAGTATTCTATGGTTTTAATTTGTAAACTTCACCTATTCAAAAAATTATATAAAAGCTTTGTAAATAAGAAATTAAAGAAATATGTTACTTACTTAAGAAAGACAATTTGGAAATCATTCAAAAGGTTGAATTTCAATGTATTTTGACTTTGAATCATTCAATGTTTAATATTTTTTAAAATGTCCCACTATAATACTCTAAATATAGTACTAGGTAAACTGAATAATTCTAAGAAAGAAGTGTTTAAATTTAATTCTAGGGGGGCTGCAAAGGACTATCTTGCTTTGGATACATCTTTTTCTTAAAAAATGTATATTGTAAGCTTGTTAATATATGTACATATTATGAATATGAATATTTATAATAATAGTAAAAAACATAATTAATCTTTAAAATATAATGGAATATTATGGAATTTATTACTTTAGTTGATCATTCAGAAGATAGAAATGCAATTTCTAGTGGCACGGAAAATGATTTAAGTGAAACCGAAACCGAAACTGATTTTGAAACAGAAACTGAAAGTGAGACTGATGAGTCTAATCAATCTGATGGTTTGATCCAAATTAAACTCATGTATTCTGATGAAAGTATTCGGTTAGTCAGTGCCAGCCTACGAGAAAAGATTATCGATTTCAAATGGTATTGTATAATATATTACTTTAAAAACTTAATAATAAATATGTGTTAGGTTGGTCTTTAACTTGGTTATGGAAGAAGAAAAATTTAAGCACCCCAAATCAGTTTTAAGTAATGAAAAAATGATGTTTACCTCTCATCCTTCGGCTCACTAATGTGCAAAAACTTTATGATAAATAACTAGCATGTTTATTCCCTGTTCAAATAATGATGATTTGGTTTTTTTTATAATTATTATTTTAAGTTAATAGTGGAATGTTAATTATTGTTTGTGAAAACTGAAAAACACAAACGGAAATTTCTTTCCCCCCCCCAAAACCAAGTCAAAGATCACATATAAAAAAAAATATATTTTCTATTATAATCAATATTGATCTTAAAACAAAAAAAAAAACCTCTCTACTATGTTAATAGAGAATACCATTGGAAACACATTCAAATTAACAGTTATTAAGGTCTAATACACATTTTTAGATTTTAAATATAATAAAGCTATACAAGATAATGAAAAAAGAGCTAATACTGGGACAGGTGTGAGCATTGTTGTAGGTGGGTTTGTAATAGGGTAAGTGGATTATTTAATTTATAACTGTAACCAATGATAAACCATTGATAACGAAAAATGATTCTAAGCAAAGTTTAGTTATGTTTTTAAAGGCCATAATATTTACAATTTTCAACAAAATTTGTAAATTAAATATTTAAATAATTAAAAATTAAGTAAAAAACTACCAAAATTAATATGTCTATTAAAAGCTCAAAAGTGTGGACAACTTACTTATTTTTTTAGGTCTTCCAATAATACAAGAATATAACAAGTCATTTGTCTTGCTAGGTAAGACCTCTTTTATTGTTAAATTTGTCATTATTTGAAATTCTGGGTTTTTTTATAATATTGATACTTGAAACCTTTTGGACCACAAAAAAGTCACACAAGGAGGTCACTCAATTCAACTCATGCTGCAGTTAACCTGTTAAGCTAATTATTGCAGTTATAACAATCTTCTGTTTCATTTGCTTAGCATGGTAAATCAATCCAAACCAAAACAAATTGATAAAAAAATTCTGAAGTCATTTATTTCAGTTGGTTTTTTAAGACTTTTCAATTTATATTTTTTTAAAAAATTAATTTTTGCAAACGTGAAAAATATAATAAGTAAGAATAAATTTTCTCTGATTGTTTTAATATGGATAATTGTGTTTAATAAAGGTTTTTCATCTTGCTTATTAAGTTTATTGTTTCAAAACTCAGAAGTCTGATTTAAAAATAAAAACCATTAATACTCATAAAAATATTAAAAAGTATGCTGATCATAAATAAAATTAGAGTAACTAAATAATAAATTGTTGGAGTTATTGTAATTTATATTGTGACTAGGAGTTGTGGTTTATATGCTTATGACAGGTCTATTTTAGAGTTCTCATACATTTATTAATTTAAAATAATAAGTAATATTTTTAGTTTAAAAACAAATTAAACCTTTTTTTCTTTTTTTTAAACAGATTTTTAGAAAACTGTATAAGCTTTTAATTTTATGATAAAATCTCTGTATTAAAGTTGGAGTTTCTTGTCCATTTTTTCTTTGACAGCAGTATTGTTTTAATTTAAAAATGCCAAAAGATCATATTTGTTGTATTTTGGATTTAGTTAAGGAAGTCAGTTATTTTTTAAGTTTTCAACAGTTTTCATAATAATTGGGAAAAACTGAAAAAACCGGGAAATGGTTACTAACATTATTTTAAATTTTGTTTTTGTTATTGTAATATAGTTAAAATATATGTTGACTTGAATATTAAAAAAAAAATTCTATTAGCCTTTTCTAAACATTCTGAAAATATTTGTTAAGCTATTTATAGACATTCGACATTTTCTAGTTTTAGTTTCTTAGTTGTAAATTGTGCTAAGTGGTAAAACAAGTTGAGTGTTGATTGTGTTAGTTTTGGATTTGAAGAGTGTATTTGTTTTACTATGACAAATCACTTTTTAAACTATTTTTCTACAAGAAATCTTATTCTGATTTTCAATTTAAGTATCTTTTTTAATAGACAATTTTATCAGGATGTACTTAATGAAGGTCATTTTTTATTTCCCATGGGATTTTATAATAGTTGGAAAAAATAGGAAAATATACAAAATGTATAATTTTTAATGTTATTTTTGATGTGATTCAGTTGAAAATATTCATAGTATTGAAATTTGAACAGAAAACATACATTTCTTTTTCTAGATATGGTAAAATGTTTAAAACATTTTAGTCATTTTTGAGCTATTTATAGACATTTTAAATTTGCTGATTTTTATCTAATTTTTATTTGGTAGATACTCTGGGGATAAAATTGTTAGACTAAAAAGAAATGCTTGGAAATTTAACAGATTAAATTGAGTATAATTTAGTTTTTTTTTTTTCAATAAAAGTTTTAAAATCAAATTAAGAAAAATTGTTTGGATTATGGTATTTCAAAACATGTAGGAGTAGAATTTTTTAATTAGCAATGATTTATTGTTTCTTACAGATATAAATTAAATAACTTTATGTACTGATATGGTACCTGGACAGATACCATATCAGATATCAGATCTGTAGACACCAGTATCAACACTTTTTTTAGAATTGAACTTAGTATTTATTTAATAGTGCTATTGGTGGTTTTTTTTCCAGTTATGCTATTTAGTCCTTTGACATTTTCATAAGTAATTTATTATGTTTATTGTATTTTTTGCAGCAAGCATTTTGGCACTGAATTATCAGCAAACAAAATAGTTCAGTTGATATTTAATGGCCATGTATTACGTGATGAAACAAGATTAAACAGAAATTATTTATTCAATAACTGTGTCGTGCATTGCATAATCCTAGATGAAAATTCTACTACTACTACTACTACTACTACTACTACTACTACTAATACTAATAATACCAATACTACTACTACTAATAATAATACCAATACTACTACTACTAATAATAATACCAATACTACTACTACTATTAATACCAATAATGCTACTAATAATACTACTACTACTACTACTACTACTACTACTAATACTAATAATACCAATACTACTACTAATAATAATACCAATACTACTACTATTAATACCAATAATGCTACTAATAATACCAATAATGCTACTACTAATAATAATACTAATAATCATTATAATACAGTTTTTATTCATAATGCTGCAAATTTTAATTTTAGAGATAATAATGAACAAGATAATATCAATGAACAAAATAATATAAGTCGACAAGATAGTATAGTTCTTTGTGTAGTGTTAATTATATTGAATTTGTATTTTTTGGATTTAATGTTTTCTTTTTTTTTTATATTTAAATTTGTTAGAAGATTGATGATAAATGGAATAACAATAATTGATATAATAGCCTGGCTAATGAAATTGTTTTACTAAACATATATGTAAGCATTTAAAATATACAGAGTGATCAATCTATCATAAGACACTTATTATTTTGGAAGTATTAACTTTTTCTCGGTTGTTTTTTAGAAAATTTCAGAAACAAGCAGCTCTGCAATTTTACATTTCTGTTATTTTTTGTCACCCTAATTTATAAGGAGTGAAAGTACTATCTATTTTTGATTATAAAATGGCAACCTATATTAAAAATTCCATAAATAGATGGATTAATAGTTAAAATAAATATTGGTGTTGAAATTTGTAATTTCCGTAAATCCTTGATGAGATATTCTAATTTTAATTTTGGGTAGGGGGAATTTTTAATATAGATAACTAATTAAAAATTAAAAGTATGTAGTCGCTTTCACCTCCTAAAATTAAGGTGATAAAAAAAAATGTAAATGTTAAATTTTAGAACAGCTTGTTTCTTAAATGTACTTTAAAATAAAATTCACAAATTAATAAAAGTTAACACTTTCAGAGATAATGAGTATCTTCTGATAGATTGATCACCCCATATAATATTTTGTATGTTTTGATGTTATTCACAATTTTGATAAAAATTATTAATATATATTATTTAATTTATATTGCTAGACCATTAAATTTAATTGTTTAATAAAACAAAATAAATTTATACCTAATTTTTTAATATTCAAAAAAGTTGTATTTCATATAATTTCAATTGTATACAATACAGTGGGCCATTCTTTTAAGTACCACTAAATAATTTAACCCGGTGACCTTAGATACTTAGAACTGACATCAGTGAAAAATTCATATTTCATCAAATTTCTAATTTCTGTGTCACTAATAATATTGTTTGCTACTATACACAATATTCCAGAACCCAGATAGAAATGTATAATGTACTCATTAAATGGATGTTGTATACATGTAAACTAATTAATATTCACTGTTTAATATTATATAGTCATTGTATCAGTATTTGAATTAAACATTAATAATTTAAATATTTAACTAATATCTTAAATAATTTAATTTTGAGTTATAATTTGTGTTTAATATGTATACATTCTCAAATGGTTGATATTGATTTTATAACTAAATATAATATTGAAGGTAGTGCTTAAAATTAAATGTAAGCCTATTATTATTTAACTTTTATCTATGTACATTGTTAATATTGTAAATTAAATTTCCTTTTCAATAAAATTAAGCTAGGGGTTATTTTGGACACTGTGGGTGGTTCATATACATACTTTGATAATTTTCAGTTTTTTAATCCTTACAGTGTGCACATACACAATTATAATTACGTTTTTTGAACAGCAACCCTAATTTTTGTCATTAGATATTGATGAATCAATTTTTTCTAAGTCATTTTGCTTCATTTACCATGGTCCTAACCTTAAAATTGACTGAATTAAAGCTTTTTTAAATTAAAAAATAATTTGATCAGATGAAAGTGTGTTTATGAAATAATAGAGGAAATTTAGTACATTTTATAAAATACAAGTATTAAACAAATAAAAACAATATTTTACAAAGCAATCACAATTTTATTTCACAATACACATTTCCAAATCCGTGAATAAATTACTCAATGCTAGTGTTATTTTCATATTTCAAAAGGCTGTTTAATTCATTAAATTTGATTAATTAGCTAATTAACTCAGTTAATTTTAAGTTTATGCCATGGTCAATGGATAAAAATGATCTATTCATATCTGCCATCAGGTGACAAAAATAAGGCTGTTCATTTCAATTGCAATTACATGCATTGACAGGATTAAAAAAAATTGAAAATTATCCCAAATGATGTATTTTAATACTCCACATCACCTCTAAAATCTTCATTTCAATCTAAGGTCATTTGAGTGAGATATTTAGTGCTAGTAGTACATAAAAGATGAGACACGCTGTATATTAAGTGTCTTCAACTACAGTTGTCATGATTTAGTTGTTTAATATTTACATAATAAATAAGTTTCAGTAAAATTATTTAACTTAAGAGAACCACAGTTACTTAATTAATGTGTCAAACCAATCTGAGAATTGAAAACTAAAATAAAATATATATTAAATATTTATTATTTTATATATAAGCACTTTAAATTAATATACCTTAAAGTTTATTTTGTAATTTTTCAAATACATAATCTAAGAAGGTCTTGCTTCTAATTGATGTGTAACTAATAATATTCCCTTTACTCTTCTGCATATTTTTAAATTTTCTCATCTCTTCCTCATTTAGGTTATAATTAATTTATTCTTATCTTAGGCTTTATTATAATTTTGTATATATATATTTTTTTTTGTTTGTAATTGCTGAGACAAATATGTATAATATTACATCTCTTATTAAATAATAATAATTATAATAAAAATATTTAATAGGTATATAAATACACTACTAAAACTATATAACAATATTTAAAGTATTATCTTAAATATTTAAAAAAATCTATATTCATTAATTTTATAAGTCATAGTAATCAATAATGTATAAATTATATTGTAATTAAATTTAAATATTTGTAATAAGTGTATACTTAATAGTTTTCTTGTGAAAATAAAAGTTTATTCTTTAAAATAAATGTAATATTGATCTGCAATTTATATACTCGTGTAATTTTCTATAAAAGTTCATAGATTTTAAAAAAAATAATTGAGATGCTTATTAGAACAAGAACCTAATTCAAAATTATGGTTTTTCAGGAGACAAAAAACTATTTGTCTTGGTAAATTTTTTTTCTAGTGAACTGTATAATTTTATCAATGGGTTGATCTTTAAAAATGTTAAAAAAATAACACTATACAATAAGTAATAACACATACTACTGAGTATAAAACTTTTTAAAAGTAATTCTTTTGAATTCAGAGTACTCGTAGGTAAAAAGCCATTGCTCATTAGATATTTCCAATCCATAATATTTATTAATAAAGATAAAATTTTTAAAATAGTAATTGAAGTATCGACAATAATTCAATAATTAACAACCTACCTGATAAAATTTCTCATCCTGTCAAATCAATTATGGTTGCAGATGATACTCATATTTATATCAAAGGGGAAAATATTAAATCAATGACACTTCTTCAATTGCCTAAATGACCTGTCTAAGTGGTGCTTCTAATCAAGATTTATTTTCTCACACGAAAAAACTAAAATTATATTTTGGGAATACACCCTGCCTTTTGTGAAAAGCATAAAAATTATAGGGTTGATTTTTGACAGTAAACTTAGGTACCTGGAAACCTCATATATTTAAAACCAAAATAATCAGTGCAACCAGAAGTATCAACATCTTAAAAACCTTAAGCCATGTCTAATGGGGAACAGAAAGTAATGTTCTAATAAACTTATATACATCTAAACTAGACTATGAATCAATTAGTTATAACAATGATAACTCAAATATTTAAAAAATAATTGATATAATTCATAACAGTGGACTTAAAGTTACAACTGGAGCATTTCAAAGTAGCCTAATTCCAAGCATTTTATCCATCTCTGGAGAACCTCCTCACATCCTTAAAATAAAATTATCTCTAAGTTATATAGCTTGTATCCTAGCCTCTCCAGAAAACTAAACATTGCAAAATATATTTTATACCAATTTCAATCTCAAAAAAACCACTGGGGCTAAGGATGATGAATGAAATGTCGCTCACCAATGTTAATCATAGTTTAATAATTAAACAAGAAAGTAATGTGGTGCTTCCGTGAGGAATGTCAACTTTGCTTGTGAGCACCAGTCTAGCAGACCATGCCAAAAAAGATACATTCAATAATATATACCAAAGTTTATTTAATGAAATTTTAGATTCTTCACCGTCTTGCCTACAAATTTATACATACACTTCCAAAACTAACTCAGGTATTGGAATTATTATCGGAACCGATGACTTCTCCATATCTTACAAACTATTAGACCATAATAGTATCTATTCAGCGGAATATATTGCTCTTCTTGAGGGAGTCCTCGTAGCTGTTGAACTGCCTGAACCAACTATTATCATTTGCACATACTTGCTCAGTGTTCTTAACAATCTTAAATATAATTTACCCTCAAACATTCTAGCAACCAATATACCGTAAGAACATACGATTTATTTGGACTCCAGGGCATTGTGGAATCAGTGAAAATGAGAAACCTGACAAAGGAGCTAGAGAATTAGCAATTATTAACCCTATAAAGGAATTACGCACTTACTTGTGCCAATTTATGGGAATCCGAATGGCGAAGCACACCCAATAAAAAGCTCAGGGAGATCAATAACACTAATACACACTGGCTTAAACTACTTCTTTTTAATCGCAAAGATGAAATAATTCTAAACACACTACGTATTGGTTACTCAAAGATGTCCTATAGACATCTCATGCATAGAGAAGAGCCAACACTGTGTCAAACTTGCAAGTTTGTTGCGGAGTACTTTTTACAGTCAAACACCTCCTTATGTACTGTGCAAATTACACAGAAACCCGAGTAAACCCAGGAATATCTGATAATCTTTTTGAAGCACTAAGCCCAATTAATGAAAACGTCAACAAAACTATTTTATTTCTCAAACTTATTGATATGTACAACTCAATTTAAAAACCATTATATCCTCTAATACATGTAATTTTTTGTTGCGAGCTAATATAACTAAGGTTATTACCTTAGTTGTTGAAACTGTACAAATAATAATAATAATAATAATAAATTAATTGTTAAATGTCAAGCAAAATCTAAAGATACCAAATATACTTATTATGCATTTATAAAATATAAATATGCTTTGAAAGAAAAATGGATCGAAATATGCAAATATATATCAATTTTATTTTTATGATATTAAATCAAAATTAACTAAAAATTGCTACTCTACATATATAACACGTATCTATCCAAAATTATTTATCTTCTAACCCACGCTCATTTTGGAAATTTATCAAACAATTTAAAAAGAAAATAATTTATCTGCGGTTATGCGTTTGGGGAATTAAGTGATCCGATAACCAAATTTATATCAATAATCTATTTGTCGAACATTTCTCATCGGTTTTCACCACTCCTAAGGTTGTTGATGATAAAGATTTCCTCGATTTCAATGAAATTGTTGACTTATTAAAATCTGCCATATCAATTTCCGAAGTATTCGAAGGATTATCGGCTATAAGCTTTGTACCCTATTCCGGACTTAGTCCCACCCTTATTTCTACACATGTGTCGATTTTCATTAACTACCCCAATTCATTATTCATTATCTCTATCTCTAAACTCTGGTGTTTTTCCAGTAAATGGAAGTCAAGTTACATACCTAACTCCTTTATGGAAGGCCGGTATTAAATTAGAGATTGACAATTATTGGCCTATATTCAAGTTAAGCACGCTACCAAAACGTCTAGAAAAACTTATGGAGCCAAAGTTATACGAGTCATTTAAGCACACTCTTGTGTAACTTTTGCAAATTTAAATCAACAGAAACCAACCTTATCGTATACTATTTTTATTTAATTGATACCGTAAAATTAAATGGTCACTTAGATGTAATTTACACTAATCTCAAAAAGGTTTTTGATTCAGTTGACCATGGTATCTTGCTGTCAAAACTTAAAAAACTCAATATAGGATATCTACTATTATCGTAATTGTCATTTTACTTGTCTAATAAGCCATTCTGTATCAAAGTAAACGGCAATCTGTCAAATAATTCAGTTGATACATCCTGTGTACCTCAGAACGGCCCCTCTCTTGTTCATTATTTTTATAAATGATATTGGCGCCTTCTATTTGTCGATAATTAAAAAATCTATCGCCAAATTAATTCAATTGATGACTTTAACCAGTTACAAAACGATCTAAATGAAATTTTAGCATAGTGTCTTCGAAACGGTCTTTCAATTAACCCTTCTAAGTGTAGATACGTTTCATTTAGCCGTTTAAGAAATAAAACTATAGCCACATAAACGTATAGTATATACAATTCTAAACATCACTAGTCTCATTTACTGTGCGTGATTTAAGTATTTTATTGTCCTCTGATCTCACATTCAATGCTCATATCGACGTAATCTATGATAAAAACTTACGGTTAATTGGTTTCATAAACCGAAACGGTTTCAAATTTAAAAACATTAATAGTCCTAAAGTGTTATATTACTCTCTTGTTTGGTCCAAATTAGAGTTTTCGTCAGTATTTTGGAAACCTTAGACAAAATTACTTAATTTACAAACTTGAAAAAATCCAGCGATGCTTTTTAAGGGTGATAGAGAAGCTCACTAATACTCAGGTATCTAAACAGAATAGTTTAAAATGTGTCAATGTTAACATTTATTATACATTTTAGGTATACCTATGTGGCTATAATAGGTATACAATTAAATTTGAATGGTAAAATACAAATACAAATAATTAACCATAAGAGGAATCAGTTAATACTAACAAAAGACGTCCTAGGATAATGGGAACAGGTACAGCTAATGTTATAGATAATTAAATGTACACCTGTAAGTAACAATAAACCATTGCTTACGAAAAACCGATTCTGAGCGGAGTTCAGTTGATAGTGATGCTTTGTCAATGATACATATGTCATTTAATAGTAAAATAATAAAAAAGGCTTTATATATTTTCTTTAATAATATTTGATGTACCAATTTTCCCACTTTTCCTACGTTTTTCTGGGTTTTCCCATGTTTTATACCAGTTTTTCACATTTTCTGGGAAAACTCTTGGGAAAATCGAAAAATTACCTATCTTAAGTACCTCCCTAATAAAATTTATTTTTAGAAACCTCGTTATCATTAAAAGTTGGAAAAAAATGGTGGTAGAAAAGTGGTCCACAGAAAAAAAATCGTAAGATTATATTAATTATGTTTCATAAACTTTCCCGTTTTTTTGCATTTGATGAGAAAACTCTTGAGAAAATTGAAAAATGATCTTCTTAGAGAACCTCCCCAGGTTGTTTTCCTTTCAGAAAAGATGCTACACATAGGAATCCGAGCAAGTCTTCTGATAGAAAAGTTGCGCATAGATAAAAAAAAAAACATCTTTGTAAAACTATAAGCTTCTTCGCTCCACTAAAATTAATTTTTAATTTTCTTAATCATAAGAAAAGTGTGGTTAATACATATTTAGTAAATGACACGATGAGCGTATAAAAGAGTAAAACTGTTTAGACGTTAGTGACCAGTGGAAGTTATATTTTTGGTTGCTGTAAAGCTGAAAGATTCACGCAGTCATATTACTCTGACGTTTAAGTTGTAAAAACTAATGTTAATAACGTATTAACACATTCAGCAACAATTCCGATAACACAGCGATATCAACGGTTTTTATATAGGTTTTTTTTTTATCTGTGCACAACTTTCCTACTATCAATTTTGTTCCAACTTTTAATGATAGCAATTTTTCTAAAAGGAAATTTCACTGAAGAGGTTCTTTAGTGAGGTCATTTTTCGATTTTCTTATCATATTTGAAAAAAAAAAAAAAATGGGAAAATATAAGAAATGTAGGTATAAGATAAATTATAAAATGGCTTTCTTTTTTCCTGTCAACAATTTTTCAACCAGCAATTTTCTTCCAAGAGAAAACCGGGAAAATTGGTTCAACATTAAACAATTATTATTAGAGAAAATATAGAAAGCCAATTTAATTATTTTACTCTAATATGACATAGATATTGTTGACAAAACATCACTATCAAACGAACTTCGATAAGAATCGTTTTTTCGTAAGTCAATGTTTTATCGTTGCTAACATATATACATTAAATTACCTAAAACAGTAGCTGCTCCCGTCCCATTATCCTAGGACGTCTTTTTTCAATATGAGGTACTTGTGGTAAATATTTATTTACATTAGAAAATGAAAAAATGGTGACCCATGAGAGTACGTTATAATAATCTTATGAAATTTCTGAAAAAACTGCAAGACTGTTTTTTTGGGGGGAAGCGGTAATCACCAAGCGGGGCTTTGCAATTAATTTTAATTTTAGGTAATTTAAAATATTATGTTATAATATACAGAGTATCCCATCATGTTAACACATATTCCTAGAGATATAAATATTTAATTTTGTAAGTCCCCTTCAGAGAAATACATTAAGAAAAAAACTCTAATTTCTAAAAAAAAAAAAAGAATTACTATTTACTCTCATACATATTAAGTTTTAAGATCTAGCATATTTTAGATACATTGTTGATTCTGTCAATTTATTTAGAGATTCAAATAGAAAAGTAGAAAATTTAGTTGAAGTGATACAAAAATATATATAGGCATTCCTAAAACAGTAATTTTTTTTTTTAAAAAAAAATTAAACATAGTAATAAATTTAATACAAACGAAGTACAAGAATTTATTCAACCAATAAATTCAATTATTAATCAAAACTATTTCCAATATAATAATAAATTATATTCGCAAAAAGATGGGTCAGTTATGGGTGGTCCTTTAAGTGCTCTCTTATCTGAAATTTACATGCAAAATTATTAAACGAATAATATTATTAACAACAAAATATACAGACCATATACAAAAACACATTATAGATATGTTCATGACACGTTAATTTTATTTAGAGGTTCAAAACAGACAATTTAGTTAACTGCTTAAATAAAATAAATAAAAATATTCAATTTACACGGGAAATTCAAATGAATAATAAATTTAATTTCTTAGATTTTATAGTTTCCCTAATAAAGAATAAATTTGATTTTAATATTTACAGAAAACTTACACAAACTGATGCTATCATACTACATGGTTCTAAAGGCTTGAACGTATTCCAATAAATAAACATAATTATCAACACAAGCTCAATATTATCTATAATGTAGCCCATAGAAATAATATCAATTTAAATACTTCTAAACAAATTCATAAACTTATTAAAAAAAAACAAATATTAAATAATACACAACTCACAAAATAATGTTGTTAACTAATGTAGTATGAATATCAAAATAATATGTCTAACAAATTCGCTAAAAAATTCTGAACAATAATACTAACAATGTAAAAATCACTTTTAAAACTAATAATAATTTAATCAAACATATAACCAATATAACTAAAAACTTCACAGAAAATCTCCCTTCTAATGAAAATTGTGGTATATATAAACTTAAATGTAATTGTAATAAATTTTATATAGATAAGACAAATGAAAATTTTAAAATAAGGTATAGAGAACACATTTCTTAAATAAAATTTAAAAAGACTGCTTCAATTCAAATTTTGCTAAACATGTTTTAGAAAATAACCATACTTTAAGCTGTAATATAGATAGTATAGTATGTAGTATATAGTAAATAAATATTTATTAGTAATTATCAAATTTATACCACCAAACTTAAGGTTTTAAAACTGTTTTAGTCATGATTAGTGGCACTATTTATTTATTTTTTTTATGGCAGTGTTCAGCAATTTCAAACATCAAATGAGTCTATGACCAGTGTAACATGCGTAATAAAAATGTGGGTATTTAATAAATAAATAATTTAACACTAATAATTAATAGCCAAATAAAATTAGAATATTAAATCAGCCTTCTGATATCCGTACTATAACCTGACTGAATATCTAACTAAATGATTACATGACTGTCACTTGATAATAGTCAATTTTCTTAATGAATACTATTACTGAAAAGTATAGTTTCTGTATTTTATTTTCTGTAATTTATGTTATCCTCAGAAATATTATTTCATTAAATGGTAATTCTCTTTACTATTTTATTTTTTAGATTTAAAGGTTTCTAATGTGTTAATTTATATAGAGAGGCCTAATTTATATTAAAAAAAAAAATACCAATTTTTCATTAGATATATTTCAACATGTCTAAGTTTTAGTATGGCATTCCTCATGTTGAGTTACGTACTTAAATTATGTTTTATATTAGTTTGTTATTTTATAAATATATATGTTATATTAATTGTATATTTAATATATATTTTAAGATAATAAATTACCTATATCTATGTATTATAGGTACATCTTGTAACTTTTTTATCTATTGACTTTGACAGTACAAACAGATGACCAGATTTTACCAGATAATTTTAATATAGGTACATACATTTTAACATTATTAGTAAATAAAATATTTTTCGATGTCAATATTTATTGAAAAATTATAATATGTATTTATGCGATTATATTATATAAACTTTTGAAGATATATTTTTATTTTTTTAATAAGTTAAGCTATTACATACAAAGATTAGTATCAATGTTATTGTAATGTCAATAATTTTAATAAGGTGGGAAAATGACATCAACCGGAATAAATGATTAGTAAAAGTGAGTTTGGTTATCATACTGATATGCTTATTTATTTGGCCATGATTATGAGATAATTATTATAATAATTATCTAGATGAATCTAAGATATACAAAACAATTGATTCATTTAGATAAAAAAAAAGAAGTATAATTTTGTAATTTCTAAAATCTGTAAAATTACCTTTTTAAAAGATTTACACAGATAATCAAATTATTTATCTTAGATGTCTTGGTAATTTATTTCTTGTTTGTAAAATATAAAATATAAAAATTACCTATTTAGATAAAACACATTACTGTACCTAACTAATACCTACAAGTATGAGTGTAGTATGTTCTTGTAAGATAAACATATAACCAATAGAACTAATAACTTTACAAAATATCCCCTTTTTTGAAAATTTTGTTATATATAGACTTAAATGTAACCCTAATAAATTTTATATAGATAAGACAAATGAAAATTTCAAAATAAGATAGAGAAAAGAACACATTTCTGAAATAAAATTTAAAAAAGACTGCTTCTAATTAAATTTTAGCTAAACATGTTATAGAAAATAACCATAATATAAGCTTTTATATTAATACAGACTTAGAAATATTAAATACCCAAAATAACATTTACATTAATTCAGTTTTAGAAAAATTACATACTTTTCAATGAAATAAAGAAAAATAATTTTTATAATATCTGAAATGTCCAAACCAATTTTAAAAATAATATCTCATATCAATACATTTTAGATAATAAATAATAACCAAATAATTTATACTTCTTAACATATCTATGCTTATTAATAACCAATTTGAAATAATCTCTTATGTTAAAATAAATTATTTCTATGTAAAATGACCAATTTGTATAATTTTTTTTTTTTCTCTGTATTCTTTCATTTAATTTTTTGTATTCAGTTCTGTTTTACATTTTGTCTCTGATATACCTTGATGATGAAATTTTAATTTGAAAACAGTTGTATAATACATATATCATACTCTAGGCAATGTATTAATTTATGTATTTATTTTATTTATATTTGTATTTACTATAACATTTATGTATTTAATGTCAACCAATAAATATAGTAAAATACATAAGATACACGAAGAAACTAAAAAGTAATATTTATATAATATATTGTCAAATAATAAGTGTACAATTTAATTTTAATATTTTGGTTAAAAATGTCTGAGTAGAGTTAAAAGGTCACAGTCTGTTTATATGCTTGTTGAATTTTGAAAACACAATCATTCTAAAGTCAGTAACTATTGTCTGGTTATAAATCTAGTGTACCGTTTATGTAACTTTTTGAATATTTTTTTTTAGGAAATAGATTTTAGAGAAAACACACAGTATTTTATACTGTTTACAAGTTCTTTGTTCTACTCAGAAACTTAAAATTGTAAAAACTAGATAATAAGCATAAACAATTATTGTAGACTATAGTAGTTTATTCAATACACTTAATTATTTCATCAATTCATTTTGCAGTTTAACAATGAAACCATTTAATATGTCACTAGATATTTGTTGTTGAAGAATAAAATATAGTAATATTATTTTACCTATACAGAGGTAATAGATGGTGGAAATGGTATATATATATATATATATATATATAAAAAAAAACATATATTTATAAATTGCTTGTTTATAATTAAATTACAGTTAATAACATTGGCATCTCTTTACTCTTTAATCTCTAATAAATCTTTAATTATTTATTGCAATGTAAGTGTGGTAAGAAACTAATGGTTACCATAAAAAATAAATGCACATGATAAATAAAATCCTCCATATTTTTATGTATATAAAAACAGATATTCATTAAATTTTTCATTTTTTTAAATTTTTACATTTCTTACATACAAGTTTTTTTTAAATTCTGATAGTAAAATAATAAATAAATATAGTAATATATAAAATGAGTAGGCCAAATTCATTACACAAAATTATGATAGTTTTCTAAATATTATTTCTCTGGAGCTTCAAGACCAGCATGGTTCATCAAGTCTGAAATATTTTTTTCTAAATCATCTATACGCGTTCCCATGTCATCTAGTATTCATATATTAGTTAAGAAAATTATTATTTTTGTTACAATAATCATTGCGGTTAGGGATTCCAAGCATTTACATATTATTTTGAAAAATTTAAATTAGATATCAAATATAAATACTGTTCATCATGTTAAGAATTTAAATCCTACATTTTATTTTGCAAAAGCAATTTCAGTAATATCTAATTTTAAAGTACTATAAAATATCATAAACCTACTAATATCTTATATTTCTCGGTATATGTGTAAGATTTGTATCACATCCAAAAAGTAACAAAAAATGATTTCTGGTAGAATAGTTGTTTACAAGAGAAAAAAACCAAACCACATATATCATAGTAAAATCAATAGACACCTCTGCTTCGAATCTAAAAATATATTAAACAAATTAATAATACAAATTTATGACCATACTTTGTTTTTTAGAGTTACTGTAAATCTTAGATCACAAAATTCCCTGATTTTCTAGGATACTTTCTAGAGATGCTACAGACACCTATAATTATAAAAGAAATAAAAACAGTTTTTTTTTTGTTTTTTGACGGAATATATAACCGTATTAATTTTAAGTGAGTTAGCTAATTTCATTTCTAAAGCCATTATAACTTTAATATTAATAAAAAGCCTACCCATTGATAATTATATAATTTTATTATAGCAAAAATTCTTTAGAATATTTTCAAAGCTTCTAATAAATCAATTGCAGTTGTGTGTTCTAAAAAACATGATGTCACTTTACGAGAAGACTTGCACCAAAATTTCACTATTGTATTATACATTCATTTGCTCTTTTTAAGATACTTTGTAAAGTGATTCATCTAATGGAATGGAAAAGATATCAGATTTAAGAACTTCTAAGAATAAACTCTCAGCAAAATACTTTCTAATCCATATAGTGTTAAATATGTTATCACAGAAAAATATCAAAAACGTTAAAATAAAATTTTCTATAAATAACTATACAATGTAATAGAAAAATATAAACTGAGTGTGTCAATCTAGTTTCTAGTCAGAGTACCTAATAAGATATTAATTAACTGGCATTGACACACCAACTATACTTGTGTGTTGTGGAAAAGGATAAACTAAAGCTAATAAGCTAATATGCAAATTTTAAATAAAGTTTGATACAACACTATATACAATTATATTATATAACTACAACTCTAATTTGATACTTAAAATATGTTTTCTCATTCCCTGAATTTCCATAAAAAATTGAAAATTTTCTGATATTTCTGGGTTTTCCAGGTAGCAATCCTGTTATTAAAATATTAAAATGTAATTAAAATAAAATTGATACAGTGAAAAAAGGATATTTTTTGCTATGATTTGGTCAGACATTGCTTGGAATTTGTTTTTCATATCTTGTAGAACACTTTGAATCTGAAAATAAATGTAATATTTTCATTAATATGTATGTGAATAGTCATATTATATAGGATATAGGATAACTCAAACAAAGAGGATAGTAAGTAACTAAAAATATATTGAATTTGAGTTGCTGCTTCATTCTAAAGCAGAATCATTTTCTCTAAAAACAGGAAACAGATTATTTGAACGATTCAATTCATTTGGATCGGATCTATTCAAATGATCAATTTACTATTTCATTATTAAACGAAATGAATAATAAGTTCATTTTGTTTTAACAAATTAAACCTAAAGGCTACCTAGTACCTACTGAGTCAAGAGATCTTATCAGTTATCTTTACCAGATTATAAAAGTTACAATTCAGGTTCATTCAGTAAAAATTTGTATACTAGAATTATTTGTACAGATTTTGTTTTTTTTTTTTAATGTAGTATGTATTTTCAGGCGTGTGGCCAGGCAGTTTGTAATCAGATGGTACTTTGATTTTCTATCTATTATGTTTTAATTCTTTTTTTTTCCTATAACAGTTATTGGTTGATACAGTTGGTGACACATTGTACCTACCTAATACCTACAAGTATGTGTGCGGTATATTTTGTACACATTATATATGCACCTATTTCAGTGTCTCGTCAGTTTTGTACTTATTAAATATGAAATGGAATTGTGATAACCGATAAATAATAAATATAATAATGAACAACTAATATAACAGTATAATGTGGAAGTCTATCATTATAAAGTGTTGATAGCATATACTATATTATTGAATTTGAAATAAAGTTACAGTATGTACAAGATAAATTTAATTTGTTTATTAAACATTATTTATTTTTACAAAGTTCATATGGAATTATTAAATGACTAATTAATTCACATTAATTTAATAATTGAAAAACACAAAAATAATAACTAATAATAGTTTGTATTTATCAATAATAAAATTAATTCTGGTATAGATTTGTTACATAGACTTATATTATAAGTCTATAATTTGTGATCATCATAATAACTTATATGACGTTACCAGCTATAACTAGCACGGCCAGAAGTTGCTGCTTCCCAGGACTTTTAAATCAATAGACATTAATTTAATCCAGAGACAACTAGATCCACACTGTTACCAAAGGTATAATTGGGATCCAAATTCTACATGACCCGGGTTCAATTTGTTCATACACCATGAAAATAACTGTTTTACATCACATATAAAATAAACCGTTTTTATCAGTACCACTATTGGTAACATTTTGGTATACATGATTAAAATTTATCATCATGAT